AGTACTAGCAAAACTGCGCGTTTTGCTCTAGATACACACTTTTTTAGAGATTTTACCGGCGTATTCTCTAATATCACCTAATTTGTTCAATTTTAGGGAGGGGCACCAAAAGGGGAGGGGGCGCCAACAGGGGGGCGCTTTTTTCGGCAGGGGGGCGCCAACAGGCAACGTTACGCCACTGCCTAGACAACCGTTATATTTATATGTTGAATAAAGTCTAGATATTGTGAGCCAATTAACAAATTAATATATACGTCATGTTAAGCTACTGTTCACATTATAATCATACGATTATATTATAATCATTATTATTATGCCACTCAATAAAGTCCGCCGACCCATTTTTATCTCTAAAATTATTTTTATCATTTCTATCTCTAAAATTATTTTTATCATTTTTTTCTCTTAAACTAATTTCACTTACAGAAGTGTGTTGTCTTTCTACCTCCAACATGACTGTAAAATTTCAGATTGCAAAACAAAATCCACAGGGTGAAACGACGAATAAAGAAAAAATCGCAAGGAATAGTAGATGTTAACTTTATCATACTGTAGATTATCCGAGAGATTAAAACTTAGCACGCGACAAACCACGTGTCAAACACAGAATGCGTCTGTCAAGTGTCACGTGGTTAATATAGTTTTAAAATATTTATTCTATTTATTCTACAAGCTCTACTTGATTAGGAGGCTTGTTCTAGAATTTCTTGTTTTCTTGGAAGAGTTATTCACGAATGTCTGTGGATATTCAGTATATTTGTGTCTAGCAGCTAACCAAATTTGTGGTTTAAGTTTGAATAAACGGGACAGTAAGCGAATTTGTACGTTTTAATTAGAGATATACAGTCGACCCTCTATATTAAAGTCATTATTGTAACGGTATCTTTAAACTGGGTACCTCGATATACCGGGCCTATTCTTAACCCTTTTATCAAAACTTTTAGTTAATTAGCTCGATATGTGATTCATTATAGCTCATATCGCATTAGAAGTCAGATAGCACTGACACGTGACAGTGATTAAAAAATATATTGAGCACAAGTTGAGTGCATCGAGCACAAGATAAGTGTATCGAGCACAAGATAGGTGTATCGAACACAAGATAAGTGTATCGAGCACAAGATAGGTGTATCGAACACAAGGTGAGTGTATCGAGCACAAGATTAGTGCAAAGTGAGTGCAATTTTGTGTGCCATCATCTTGTAATTTCAGATGAAACTACCAACACAGATAAACAAAAATCAGAGAAACTTCAGCTATTAACGAACCCGAAACAGTGCTTGAGTGCTTGAAAGAACAATTATTAAGAGCAATTAGTAACCAATTATGACACCGAGAGTATTCAAATCAAGTAACTTAAGTTAAATAAGAGGTTAGTTATATGACACCAAGAGTATTCAAATAAGTTAGTGATCAATTAGCGATCAACCAGCCGACTAGCGATCAATTAGCGATCAATTAGCAGATAATGCAGCTCAAACCTCCTTGCTGCTGGGAGTCCAGTACTGATGATACGTAACGACACGTTCCTGAGATAGCATTCCTCCAGTTTCCATCATTATTTGCAGGTTAGTTATTAACTTAGTTACTAAGTTACTAACTTATTAACAAGACTATTATTAAAACAACAGGAATTGAAAATGTCGAGTAAAATAATAAATTGGGAATTCGTTTTGTTTACGTTTTACTGTGATATAAAAATTCGAAGAAATTACATTTTCAGGGAAAAGCAGATATTTTCCGGGAAAAATTTTTCCTGCTAGTTTTTCTTATCATAATTTGCGTCGTACAATTTTCGATCGTTTTCTTTAAATATTATTACCTATCCGATTAATAATTTCTCCTCGAATTTTGCTTTTTTCCCACTGTATCGTAGTCAATACGTCTAATTCTATTCATTCTAGTAATTTTACAATATAACTAGATTCCCATTCTCAACAAACTGTGAGGGTAACGGCCCAGTTCCCGGAATCATAATATATAATATACCGTATAATTCTAATTACCGTCATTACTCTTAATATTGCTTTAACCTTTAAGACTACATGTTGTTGAACTGAAGTCTAGGTTGATTTCTTCTAGATTTTTCTTCAACGAGAGATCTCTTTAACCTGATTTACCGCTTTATGAGGGTGACTTAATCTCATACAATAATCTTCTTCCCACATACATACTCACAGACGAAACACGTACCACGATCCTCTTTTAGTTAATAAGTTAGTAACTAAGTTAGTTTACATAATTAACTAAGTTATAATTAGCTATTGACAACTTGTAATACAACTATAGCGTTAGTTATCAGATTTAGTTGAGCGGTGAGTGGTGAACACTAATACTATATCCTAGTAACGATGCACGCGTGTAATGTGTATGAGAGAGAGAGAGAGTAAATGTACAAATCCTTACAATTGTAATGTGAATTGTACTAGTTATTACACAAAATGTACAGTGTATACCCTGTTTCTTGCACTCGAATCAACTGTCACTGCAAGTGTCAATGAGCACATGTGACTAGTACGTCAACAATACACTCCTCAGTAAATATTTCAGCCCACACTATTTTATCGCAGCTAACACCTCCTAAGCGACTAGTTGACTACATATTATATAGCATGCAGCTGTTATGTTTTCAAGTAACGACTTCACCTCTCTTCTACATCCTACATATTACTACATCCTACATCCTACATAATATTACTGCATTATGATATAACTTGGCATCTAGCCAATATTATTCTACTTTACCTACTGTAAAACATTAAACTGAAAACCAGTTTACTCAAACCAACGAAACTTGTTTAACAACTGACACGTGATACGAGTACTGGATTTTACTGGTTCTAATATTTAGATCCTGAATTCAACGTTCCACTGAAGTGAGATAATATTTTAAACTAAACTTCTTACTTTTTACTTCCTGCTTCTTCTCTCCAGTTTCTTACACTCAAACACGCAGTGTGGATACTGCATACTGTAAATAATAGCTCTGTTGTAAATGCTAACTTCTTAAAGTGTAGACGTGCAGGTGTCCTCACTAGTTTCCAGTAAAGAACTGTATTGAGTGTATTCACCTACATGATTAGGGAATTTAACTGATAGTGATTAGTAATTACTGATACTAATTAGTAATTACTGATAGTGATTAGTAATTACTGATAGTGATTTAAAGTAACTGTTTGAGTGTTTTAACAGATAATAAAAGCAGGAAATTACTTCCTCTTACATCTATCTTTTCAAATATTACTCCGTCACAAGAAGAGCGCATTAAGCACGAGAAGGGTGCAAAAAGCACAGTGAAAGCGCAATCGTACCTTATCTCATATTGTTGCATTTTTATTGTGATCGGACAAAAAATCAGGTTCTCAGACTCCGACTACTATAACACTAATATTGTTTGTTTGTTTGTTTGTACTACTAAAACACTAATATTGTTTGTTTGTTTGTTTGTACTACTAAAACACTAATATTGTTTGTTTGTTTGTTTGTTTGTACTACTATAACACTAATATTGTTTGTTTGTTTGTTTGTACTACTACAACACTAATATTGTTTGTTTGTTTGTTTGTTTGTACTACTACAAAACTAATATTGTTTGTTTGTTTGTTTGTACTACTACAACACTAATATTGTTTGTTTGTTTGTTTGTTTGTACTACTAAAACACTAATGTTGTTTGTTTGTTTGTTTGTACTACTACAACACTAATATTGTTCGTTTGTTTGTTTGTGGGGCACCTATTCTACCTCGGTACCTAAGTAAGAAGGCTATGTCGACCCAATGAGCTAATGGGGTCCCTCTGGTGAAGGGATAGAGCTTGTACCTTACATATATTTTGTTACTAATATTGTTACTAATGTTCCTAATTTTGTTGCTAATTTTGTTGCCAATGTTGTTACTTATGTTGTTACTAATGTTCTCAGCGTTGAGCATCACAAAAACAGCTTTTTGATGGTTTATGGAGGGTAACTTCAGATAAACATATATCCCGGCAGCGCTTATAACCATTTAACAGTGTAACAGTGTGACAGTGTAACAGTGTGACAGCATAACTGTGTAACAGTGTAACAGTGTGACAGCATAACTGTGTAACTGTGTAACAGTGTAACAGTGTGACAGCATAACAGTATCACAGTGTAACAGTGTAACTGTGTCACAATATCAAAATGTCACAATGTTACAATTACACGTGACATTCGCGTTGGTACCTGACTACCAGAAGTATTCGAAGTTGAACTGTGTGGGTCTTGTTTCTCTGACTGCAGGAAAACTATTTACCAACCGGTTTTTAGTGTCAGTGTAATTATTAAATGGGATTAAATGTTCTGAGTGTAAAGTTTTGTGTGTTAGTGTAATGGGATTAAATGTTCTGAGTGTGTTAGTGTAATGGGATTAACCAATAACCTCTCTCATTTGATCTAGATGTGGTCAACTCAACACGCCGTGTAACCCTAGCTGATCACATTACATGGCACATTACATGGCACATTACATGGCACATTACATGGCACATTACATGGCACATTACATGGCACATTATTGGAAATAAATAGAGAGTATTGGAAATGAAGACTATTTCCAATAAAAAATTTAGGAATTGTGAAGCTGATCGTGGATGGACCGGGTTGCACCTTCATAACTTTATTTTGTCACACTCTTGCAATGCTATTTATTGATTTAGTTAGGAAACATGTTTGAATATTGAACGATAATATGATAGATGAAATCATTATCATTACAGGTAAGTTCATTAAGGGTTCAAAGTGAATCTTTCTTCAAAGCACATACTGAATACTGATGGATCATGGATGTAAACCTAAAAGAGGGTTAAAGATAAACACAGCTCATGCTGCACTGATAATTATCATTGTGACGAAATTTTTAGCTTTTTATACCTTAAATTGTGACGAAATTATGTAACTGCCCTTTTTAGTATTTAAGGTTCAACGTAACTACATCACATTCATGTTCTAAAATTATTTTACAACTAAATTTTGAACTTACCGATGTGGCCGACTTCATTCCTTGAGCGCCCGCCTGTATAAAATAGAATGTCAGATTTTCAAAAACTATGACGATATTACTGAACAAATGTATATCAATTTCGATGGTTGCGTTGGTAAAACACGTAGGGATGTGATTTAATAACAGCACAAGATTAATTATTATGAGCATATTATACAATAGGGTATAATATCGCAAACAAATGTTATTTAATGCTAAAGCCAAACAAGCACTATTGAAAACATAAGGATTACAGTTTATAAATACTGATTAAAAACTCACAGATTCTTCTCCTTCCCTTCGCTTTTTAGCATCCATGTTGTTGCTAAGAAATATTAATAAGGCAAATATTTCTACTCATTGTACAAAGATTTTTTATGATGAATTGGTTGTAACTATAGCTATGCAATGAACAGCTACCATGGAAATTCTGGGATATTGCAATTATACTCCACTGTACCATAAACCAAATCAAAGAAATGGAGACTGGAGAGGGTAGTGATCAATGGACTAATGCAATGCTAAATGCAATGGACAATTATAATGGACTGTTACAATGCAATGGACAATTGTAATGCAATAAAAGTAAGTAAGTAAGTAAAGATTATGACATAACATCATCACAAGTGTCTACAAAATATCATTGCACTAAATAGAAAAATAATTTAAATAAATATATTTTTCCATCAACATTAATAATTTATCAAATTCAATTTTATTAATTAATAAAATCTAATACATTATATATAAATAATTCATTAAAACTTCCCAGTGGAATAAAGATTTACAAAACGCTTCTTTGCCACAAAAGGATGAAACCAAAGATATTCATTATGTCTCTCCTTATTGCTTAAATAACTGGGTCCTTCAATTTTCCCTAAAACTTCATTTGAAACATTCCAAAAATAAAAATCATTTACACTGTTTTTAGAAATCATTTCTTTCTTAAATCCTTCTAATCTAACTTTAAAACTTAAAACTGTCGAGCAGTTCTTGACATCTGGAGGGAGTTTGTTCCAATAAGGAATGACTCGCTCCGGAAGAAAAGAAGACTGGAGATTCTTCACTTTAGTTACACTCTTACTACATCTATTGGTTGAAACAAGATTAAGACCAGATCTGCTCATTCTGAACAAACCCGATCCATATTCAGTCAAACCACTAGTTACTTTAAAAGCTTCAATAAGGTCCCCACGTATTCGCCGCTCTGCCAGCGTTGTCAGATTGAGGATATCCAGTCTACGGCTGTATGGAAGAGTACCCACCTCATCAATAAGACGGGTAAACCGCCTCTGGACGCTCTCCAGCTCCAAAACAGTCCCCCAACTTCCATGAGCCGCAACTGGATTCCACAATTGGACACAATACTCAAGATGAGGTCTTATCAAAGCTTTATAAATAGCTATCATTACAACCTGTTCTCTAATAACTAAATTCCTTACAATCCAGCAGATCATACGATTTGCTTTAGAAATACATGCTTTTATCTGTTCATTCCAAAGCAAGGAGCTATGGGTAATAACCCCCAAATCTTTTTCCTGTGCAGATACTTCTAGTTCTACTCCATTTACAATATAGTTTAAGTTAGGATTATTATTCAGATTAATATGAACTACTTTACACTTGGCAGGATTGAAGTTTAAGTGCCAAATACTCTCCCAAATTTCGAGTTCTAAAATATCATCAGATACACTTCCATGGTTAGCTGCATTACAAACTAACTTGAGATCATCTGCAAATAATTTAATCTTATTTTTAACAATGTCAGGTAAATCGTTTATATAAAGAATAAATAGTAAAGGACCCAATACTGACCCCTGGGGAACACCAGATAACACGTGTTTCACCTCAGACCATTGTCCTTCTACACAAACCCTCATGGTTCTGTCTGTCAGAAAGTCTTTTATAACATCTAAAACTTTTCCCTTGACCCCAAACCCCTCCAATTTAGATAGAAGTCTAAAGTGGGGGACTGTGTCAAACGCCTTACTAAAATCAAAATACAAAAGATCGACAGGTGCACCTTCGTCTAAAATATCAAGAATATTATCAAATGTCTCTAAGAGATTAGATAGACAAGATTTACCCTTCACAAATCCATGCTGATGCTTTGAAATTCGTTCTTCTAAAAATGTTAGTAAATGTGCCCTCACCAACTTTTCATACACTTTGCACAAAATACAAGTTAATGAGACAGGTCTATAATTTAAGGGATCAGATTTAACACCCTTTTTAAACAATGCTACAACAGATGCTGTCTTCCAAATGTCAGGCAGGACTCCTGTTTCTGAACACTTAACAAATAATTTAGTTACAGCTTCAACAAACTTTTCATCGTATGCTAAGGATTTTAACAACTTTGGATGAACGCCATCCGGACCAGAACTCTTAAAAACATTAAGCTTTAAAAGCTGCTTCTTGATATCAGAGCTGCTAATTTCCATATCATCAATAACTTTTTTGTTATAACTCTCATTTTGGGGAAGAGGGCCAGGTGGTTCACGCACAAACACAGAACTAAAGGCACTAGCAAGTACCTCAGCTGACTCAGATGAACTATCTGTGCGTGTACCATCTCCTCTATCTAAAGAAACAACACTTGACTTAACTTGACGTTTATTACGCAAATACGAGTAAAAAGATTTACAATTCTGTTTTAAATTAGATGTAATCTTCTTTTCATAATTTACTTTAGCTTTAATTTCTGCCACCTCAAAAATATGCTGCTTGCTATTTGCACAGCTAAAGTTAATATCCGAAGGATTAATATCAAATTCAGCCCATGCTTTGTCTTTGTTTTTCCTCATTCTTTTAAGTGAAGTTGTACTCCATGGCAACTTGACAGGTCTGTTGTCGAGATAAACCGAAGCAGCTGGGACAGCTGCAGCAACAGACTCCAATTTACCATGTAGTTCAACCCACATATCTTGAACATTATTTGTACAACTATAATCCCAGTCAATATTACTCATACTAAAGTTAAATAACTCTTCTGAGGAAATCTTACCCCAAATAGGCTTTAAAATCTTTTGTTTGGGAATTTTGTTAGTATTGGGCGAAACAACCAGTTCGACTAGTATCCCAACATGATCACTCTTGCCAAGCGGAGAAACGATCTTACAACCGTTGACAAGAGCATCATTTGTATACAAAACCTGATCAAGAAGACTCTCCTGGAGAGTATCTTTCACAAGCCGTCTTCTGGTTGTTTCGTTAGTAAAGTACCACGTCAAACCACTGTCATTAAATAAATCAATATACTTTTGTTGAATCATTAAAACCTGATTCTTACTAGAAATACCACTATTTACACTACCAGTTTCCCAAGATACATTAGGTAGGTTAAAATCTCCTATGATAATGGTTTCAAAAACATTCTTTTCACTAGATATGTTCTTGATGCAAGATAATAACATATTATTCTGTTTTAAATTCAAAGAGGTAGACCTATAAATACAACAAATACTAATCAATCCACCAGAGGTATTGACATTAATAGCTAAAGAGTCTGGTGCTTTTAAAAATGAGCTCACTAATGAAGCATTACAACTGTTTTTAATATAAATAATAGAACCTCCACCTCCACTTATGTTGCTAGTGGAGTTATCGATTTTAAAATCTCTGTCTTTTCTAAACATACTAAAACCTTCAATAAAAATTTCAGCATCTAAAATATCACTATTAAAATGAGTTTCTGTAATGCAGATTACATGAATGGATTTATAAACTGATAGAATACATTTTAGTTCATCAATTTTATTAAATAGTCCATTAGCATTAGTATAAAAAATATTCATGGGCTGACTACATTCTTTATCACTGCTATTTACTTCTTCTCCACCTTCTTCTCTGTCTTTTCCTTCTCTGCTTCTTCCCGCCTCTTCTTCCTCTCTTCTCTGGCTAAAAAACGGATCTCTCGGTCTGCTCTGCAGAGATCCAGATTTATCCAGTATGATGACTCTTTCCAGCCCTTGCCATGGTTGGAATAATAGTTAACTGACTCCTCGTCAGCTGTCTGGATGATCAATGGCCGACAGGAGTCTGGCTTACCTGGATCCACTTTACCTGCACGATGGCAACTGATAAAGTCACTTTTTTCAATCTTTAGTGTCTCCTTGCAGAACTTCGAGTCCTCTTCCTGGCGTAGCTTGGAGTTAGCTTTCTTGCTCTCTGGTACATTCAAAACACACAGATTGAGCTTCCTTAAATTTCGCTCATATGCATCAGTGTGCATCTTTGTCTGAACTTTACTGACAACACTTTGTGAAGCTTGCTGTAGGCTCATTTCTTCCATAACTTTCTTCTGACTATTTGCAGTAACATCAGCGAAGGACTGGAAAGCCTGGTTCACTATCTTTGATATTTCTTTAGGTTTTTCAGACTCAAAGTTAGTTGGAATGTTCTCGTTCACTGCATTTTCAACAACCCCTCTGATACAAGGTGTAAGAGCCTCAAGTTCCTGCCTAATAACATTCCGTAGTATTTTTGTTTCTTCATTATCAGGGTTCGAGGTCTGAGTCCTTTTGCTTTTTATGTAAGGTGATATAAAACAATTCTGACAACGCCAGTTAGACAGATGGTCGCCTTCTTCTTGTGTCAGACCTGTCAGTCCAACACAGCAATAATGCCAGTACATATCACAGGTTGCACAAGCTAATGAAAACTCCTCTGCGATATACCTTCTGCATTCACAACTACGGTCTCCTTCATCTTCAGTTACATCCGTTTCTGCTGCAGCACCAGTTTTCTCTGGACTTTTCTTGACATTTCGTTTTCGTGCCGTTTCTCCTCGTGTCATACCTCAAATTATTTGTTATATAGTAGTGTTGAAAGTATTAAAACTGGATGGACTGTCACACAATAGAACAATAAGACAGAAGAATATTATGAATATTGTAATACCTTAGTTCGTGTATTTATGGCGGGTAATATTGTGGATGGTAAAAATAATGGCAGGTAAAAAAAAGGCAGATTTTCCGAAAATCCGCCAAATTAACCCGCCAATTTTTTACATGAATGTATATTAATCGAAATTCATAATTCATCGTCATATAATATAATCAATAATATTCGATTAACAAGTTAATTTTATTCTTTACAACACAGCTATGCGTGACTCTCGAAAATCAAGCGGTGTCTCAGAGAAATAATGCGATTCCAAGGCATGAGCATTGCTCTAACCAGAGCCCTCTCGCTTGCAGTAGTAAGCGCGTCACGCAGTACGCGTATACATATGGCTATGTGAAGCATGAGCATAAGTGTGCACTAGACCATTTGTCTAGTTTGAAAATGGGGCCAACAAGTCAACTTAATATAATATAAGGGTCAAATGGGTCAGTAAACAATTTGTGGCAGTTACTTGCCAAATATGAGGCTAAAACAAACATACTAAAGCAAGTTGGAAAAAAATGATACACAAATTTTTTAAACATTTAAAAACTAAATTCAGTCAAATAATTTGGTTTCAGAAGATTTTCATTCATCATTGGCGCTCGATTTTTAAAAATCTCAAAACACATCAGCTAACCTTAAAAATTTAATTAATACAAGATTCACAATTTAGCTAAGAGTTAACGTACTATATATTAACCAATTTAAATTAAGAATCATTCAAAATCAAACGACCTCCGACTTCACTTGTGAAACAGTCACATCACGTAGTATGCTTTATAGTTGAAGGACGACGTCGCTTTGCTGTTTGCACATATTTCACATTGCATGCATTACATAATTCTTAAATGTCATGCATTGTTTCGCTTCAAACAACGTTGTCAGTTGGAGTATAGCCGTGATGCACTATTTAATTGGGTCGCGCCGCGCATCAAACATCAAAGGATGCTTCTCTTGTCTCTCATATCTGTTCTCACAACCAAATCTTTGTTAGATCAGCAAAATGCACCACTAGGCCTCGCCAAGCTGTGATTACTTGACACACGCTGTAACCCCTTTTGATCGCGTGCACGAGGGATAAACAACGTGTTGATTCACGATGTCAATCCTTCGCAGCTCGGTGAGGCACAGTGGTGCATCTCGCCGATCTACCGAAGTGGTGGTTGCGAGAAGCATTATTTGATGCGCGCGCGACCCAGTAGTGCATCGCGCTACAAACAACGTGTAGCAAGTGATTAATGCGCGATGCGCAGCCTAAATTGTAAATATATAGTCAAAACCGCTTTTTTCATTGTGTAGAATTTTAGCAATAAAATATATATATATAATATTTTTTGCGTTTTGAATAATTTAGTTTTTGGAACCATATTTTCTTTTACCTGGGGACCTCGGCGGAATGACAGGCTGAGCGCGGCCCAGTAAATTTTCTTAAGTGTTTTGATATATCTTTGGAGGACTTCGCCGCTTCGACGCGCCGCGCGAACTAGCATTCTTGCTTCGCATCGTCGATCGTCGATCGTCGATCGTCGTCGTCGTCGTCGTCGTCGTCGTCGTCGTCGTCGTCGTCGTCGTCGTCGTCGTCGTCGTCGTCGTCGATCGTTGCTCTGCTTCGCAGAGCAACGATCTCGATGGGTTGACATCGTCAACCAAGATATATTTTTGTATTGATTGACGATTTCAACCGTTCCAGATCGTTGCTTTGCGCGGCGAAGCAACGATCTTGTCTTCTTCGATGCAAAGCAAGAATGCTAGTTTGCGCGGCGCGTCGAAGTCCTCCAAATCTTTGTGGTATTATATTTGATTGACGATGTCAACCCATCGTGATCGTTGCTCTGCGAAACTAATATAAGCAGTATGCGCGGTGCGTCGAAGCGGCGAATTCATCCAAATAGTATACATACTATATACAATATAATTATTTGTAGCGCGATGCACTACTGGGTCGCGCGCGCGCATCCAATAATGCTTCTCGCAACCACTTAAGCAGATCGGCGAGATGCGAAGGATTGACATTGTGAATCAATATAATTATAGGCAATATCATTATATAATATTAAGAAAACAAAATTTAATTACTTTTTCGCGAGCGAAGTTGTATCACGTTGGACCCCCACGGTCGTTTCACTATACAGGGGGAGCCGCGCACTCGTGCGCGCGCGGCGGGTCATACAACGTATGACAAGCTAGCGAAGCGCGCATCCCAGCCGTATATTATATTATGCTAAAAATTCAAAGCATAAATTGCATCTAGAGGTCAGAGGACTTCTTTACTTTGACATACTGCGCGCATTATTATGCTCATTTATGTTTCAATGCAATAAATGTTCAAAAAGGCTTTGTCAAACAAAATTAAATATATGATATGAAAAGCATCTTTTATTTTTTATCTAGAACATTACAATATAAGTTTCAATATCAATTTATGCCAATTTTTATTGGAATTGTAAAATTTTGTTACAAAATGTATATTTGCCAGCAGCAGAGGCAAAGTAAATTGGCACTTTTACTATTATATTTTCTTGCGTGTGCTAAAACCATGAATAAGATAATTTCGAGATTTAAAATTTCAGCCATTCATTGAAGATTCTTTCTTGCTTTCTATTTCTTTGTGTTGTCCACCACCAGTGGGGGATTCGGTTGTTGTTCATATGTCCAGGGTCGTGGTAATGAGGTTGCTCCCTCAGACAGTTGACATCGTTTTCTCTTCTAGAAAATAAGATGTTTCGTTTAGTGTTTTCATTAATTATTAATTTCGCTATCAAACTGAGTCAAATGTTTTGCACTGGGTCATTTATATATGGTCATTGTAACAATTATGTGCAATAATTAATTATTTGTTTGACACATGCCTGTATTGAGAGGGTGGCTTAGCATGATAAGTTTCAAACAGGGTAGGTTTTTCTTTAGGTAGTTTTTCTCTTGGTTTATTTGGTATCATAAACTTTTGTTGTGAATGACAACTCACGTGTCCCGTTCCTGCTAGAACAAATTCTCGTTCCTGTAAATAATATATCTCTAACAACGACTGTGATTATTTTACATCTGGTTGGTCTTCATAGTTTCTCTACATACGGCCGGTGCTGATATATAAACCAGCACTGATATATAAACCAGCACAGAAAAGTGAGTTCTTAACAGTTAATCTCTCATAGCGTGATGCTTGCTCAACGTTGATAACACATTTTAGTCACAGGTAAAAGCAAGTTTTATACATTCAAATATAATGGAATACCTCTTGATCACTATAAATAAGATTCCTAACAGTTGGTGCACTTTTTATTGGGTAGGTGTATAAGGTCTGCTTTCGCTTTGGCTTCTGAGGTGCTGCAAAATATAGAAAAATTATAATTTTATCTTGAACTTAATTTTGTTTAAATGGGTAAAATTTCTCCAAATTTCTCTGGTGTAATTGAATTTTGATCTAATTATAAGATGTAGCATTGTGAAACAAGCAATATTTGCACAGTTTAAATATTGAACAAGTCCAGGAGTTTTTTCAAGCCAAGACACCATAGCACCAGAAAACTCTCCCAATTTTAAAATTAAGATTATCAGTTAATTTTGATCGATTCAATCGCTGTCAATCAAAATCTTCCATTACAGAGTGTGGAATCACCCAAAACAATGTAATTGTACATCTCATGAAGTCCAGCCAAAAACCAACAAGAAATACAATACATTAAAAATCACTCGCACCACGCATGCACTGACCACAGGCTATTTTACATCACATCTCTGCAAGCAACCCTTGCATGCTGCACGCGTCTAGTTGTCATGGTAACAGACGGAAGGAAGTAAGGCCAAGGACTGACGACATATTTAAACCCACCTACCTCGTTCTCCAAAATCCCTCTTTCTGCTAAAACGACTATTCGTAACCTTTCACTACGAAATGCTGAGGAGTATGGTGTCTAACAAAATTACCTGGTATGTTTAGTCTTGGTGGTAGCTTCACGTTTTTCAGTTCGACTTTCGATGTAGGATTTGCCATCTTAGAAATGAATAAGTAGATATTTGCCCTTCAGTATCTTTATCTCAAAATGACAGATTATAGATTGTTGCATACCAGAATTACACACAAATCTTTTTATGTAGAAACTGAAGCTCCGATAGGGTAATTTATAACACTGCTTTAGATTCACAGCATCATGGCTATACTTAAATTATTCAATTATGCCATTGTGTAATTTGCTATTTAAATTTGATTATGATTATAGTTCTAATTCTAAAACTTAAATTTACAAGCATGATAAATGCACACGGCATGCTAATTGCACTGACTATTAAACAAAACAACATTGTTATCTAATGCCCATTCACTTGCAACAACATAAAAGTTATCATATAAAGTATGTCAATATAAATATTCGACTTCAACTGAGCACTAAGTATGATAAGAATCAAACAGGACAACCTGATCATTAAATTGAAGCTTATTACTATTTGTAAAAAAATCCCACAAGATCATGCAAAGCCAATGTACATTGTGGTGAAGAGTCATGTAGAGAATGAAGCATTATAAATCAATGATAAGATCAATCAATGACAAATTTTTTAGCATGCACACGCACAGTCGTGATTATTATTGATAACAAATTTAAAATAATGCGAAGCAAAATTGTTCAGGCTGCACTCGATATTCTAAGTAATAAACTTTATTTCGAATTTTGAGGAGGGGGTTCACAGTTGTTCATCTATTTATTTGACAAGTGCGAATAATGGTAACAGCAGAAATGGCAGTGCACCTCCCCCTCATTATTGTTTTTATACATTAATCGGGAGTGCATTGATTTACACTTGAATGGTTTTATTTCCACATCATTTCTACAAAGTGCTTGCCACTTTAAATCAATATTTTGAGCGGAGTCTTTGAAATGTATCCGGAGATACTGCACCAGATTTTACAATTTACATGCTAATTGTGCTAGCTCAGACCATTTGTTTTAACACAAGACAGTGATTGTAAGCTTTAATTGGTCAAGGCTGGAAGCTTGTTAATATTACGTTTCAGAAATAATATGGTCCACCAGCATCCAGATCTTTATCAATCCTACTATCACATAACTAACCCGTTATCTCCTGATAGGAACTATGTTGACAGTAGTACTGCTAGCTCTTGTTGGGGCAGCATTTGCTTCTGATGAAGCGTGTCCTATGAATGGCATCTTTGGGTATGGACCTAAGGTTTGTGATACTTCTCCAGTGTCACTTACTCAAATCATATGTTGTATTATGTAATGATATTACTGGTGTCAAAAGTTTGGTTATTTGGTGCAGTCATGATTGTGGAGTTTCATGAGAGCAATATTCAAAGTTGACAATATGAAAAACATGTTACAGTTAAGATAAATGGCTTGTTTTATCTCAGGGGTACGACCACGCTCTGGGAGTGGTGAAAGCTAGGATTATGAAACCAGCACCTGACTTTACTGCCCCTGCTGTAGTCAAGGGAAAGTTTGAGGATATCACACTTTCTTCTTACAAAGGTGGGTGTGGATTGTTTAATTTGTGGAGCGTTGTTGATATACTGAGTTTGAAGTAATATCATTATAATAAGCAGTGGACAAATAACATGTTAAGTGTTACTTTTAGGTAATCTAAAGTTCTGCTACTCATATCATCCTTGATAGTCCACTTGTGGAAAAAAGAATAAAAGTAAAACAAAAGTAAGAACGTGAAATAAAAATAAAAATACTTAACATTCTATTCCACAGGTAAATACGTGGTTCTCTTCTTTTACCCTCTTGACTTCACCTTCGTGTGCCCGACTGAGATAATCGCTTTTAATGACAGACTCAGCGAGTTCACCAAGATTAACACCGAGGTAAGAACACTAGAACAGTTTTGTTAATTATTTAATTATGTAATTAGGTAGTTAATTTAATCATAGTTATGATACAACCAACTTTTTGCTTGATTACCATTCTTTGTCTAACTTTTCCGTTTGTTGGGGAAATTAAAAACAATTTATAAATATCAATTAACGTGTATCGTTCCCCACAGGTAATCGCAGCATCTGTAGACTCTAAGTTTACTCATCTGGCTTTTATTAACACTCCTAGATCAAAAGGTATCTTTAACTTTACACTTACTGTTTGTTCAGCGCCATAATTACCGCCGTAATTATCACCATAATTATCGTCATAATTTTTTGCCAAATCTGATCATACAACGACCCTAAACAAGTTATATATTACTAACTGTTCTTACATTAAGCAACTTATTTTTGGTTTATTTTTGCTTCACAGCTCCCACTTCTTCTAGTTATTGTATTGTTAAAGATCAGTGTCTTGGTACATAAACCCCCGTTGTGCTTAGTTTGAATTGATATCTGGTTAGATATAACAATTATAAAGAAACAAACCAGTCTTATAGTTGTAAAAGTACATTCTGATATCACGGAATGTTCTGTAAAAGTACATTCTGATATCACGGAATGTTCTGTAAAAGTACATTCTGATATCACGGAATGTTCTGTAAAAGTACATTCTGATATCACGGAATGTTCTGTAAAAGTACATTCTGATAGCACGGAATGTTCTGTAAAAGTACATTCTGATAGCACGGAATGTTCTGTAAAAGTACATTCTGATAGCACGGAATGTTCTGTAAAAGTACATTCTGATAGCACGGAATGTTCTGTAAAAGTACATTCTGATATCAAGGAATGTTCTGTAAAAGTACATTCTGATATCACGGAATGTTCTGTAAAAGTACATTCTGATATCACGGAATGTTCTGTAAAAGTACATTCTGATATCACGGAATGTTCTGTAAAAGTACATTCTGATATCACGGAATGTTCTGTAAAAGTACATTCTGATATCACGGAATGTTCTGTAAAAGTACATTCTGATAGCACGGAATGTTCTGTAAAAGTACATTCTGATATCAAGGAATGTTCTGTAAAAGTACATTCTGATATCACGGAATGTTCTGTAAAAGTACATTCTGATATCACGGAATGTTCTGTAAAAGTACATTCTGATATCACGGAATGTTCTGTAAAAGTACATTCTGATATCACGGAATGTTCTGTAAAAGTACATTCTGATATCACGGAATGTTCTGTAAAAGTACATTCTGATATCACGGAATGTTCTGTAAAAGTACATTCTGATATCACGGAATGTTCTGTAAAAGTACATTCTGATATCACAGAATGTTCTGTAAAAGTACATTCTGATATCACGGAATGTTCTGTAAAAGTACATTCTGATATCACGGAATGTTCTGTAAAAGTACATTCTGATATCACGGAATGTTATGTAAAAGTACATTCTGATATCACAGAATGTTCTGTAAAAGTACATTCTGATATCACAGAATGTTCTGTAAAAGTACATTCTGATATCACAGAATGTTCTGTAAAAGTACATTCTGATATCACGGAATGTTATGTAAAAGTACATTCTGATATCACGGAATGTTATGTAAAAGTACATTCTGATATCACGGAATGTTCTGTAAAAGTACATTCTGATAACACAGAATGTTCTGTAAAAGTACATTCTGATATCACGGAATGTTCTGTAAAAGTACATTCTGATATCACGGAATGTTCTGTAAAAGTACATTCTGATATCACGGAATGTTCTGTAAAAGTACATTCTGATATCACGGAATGTTATGTAAAAGTACATTCTGATATCACGGAATGTTCTGTAAAAGTACATTCTGATATCACGGAATGTTCTGTAAAAGTACATTCTGATATCACAGAATGTTCTGTAAAAGTACATTCTGATATCACAGAATGTTCTGTAAAAGTACATTCTGATATCACAGAATGTTCTGTAAAAGTACATTCTGATATCACGGAATGTTATGTAAAAGTACATTCTGATATCACGGAATGTTATGTAAAAGTACATTCTGATATCACGGAATGTTCTGTAAAAGTACATTCTGATAACACAGAATGTTCTGTAAAAGTACATTCTGATATCACGGAATGTTCTGTAAAAGTACATTCTGATATCACGGAATGTTCTGTAAAAGTACATTCTGATATCACAGAATGTTCTGTAAAAGTACATTCTGATATCACAGAATGTTCTGTAAAAGTACATTCTGATATCACGGAATGTTATGTAAAAGTACATTCTGATATCACGGAATGTTATGTAAAAGTACATTCTGATATCACGGAATGTTCTGTAAAAGTACATTCTGATAACACAGAATGTTCTGTAAAAGTACATTCTGATATCACGGAATGTTCTGTAAAAGTACATTCTGATATCACGGAATGTTATGTAAAAGTACATTCTGATATCACGGAATGTTATGTAAAAGTACATTCTGATATCACGGAATGTTATGTAAAAGTACATTCTGATATCACGGAATGTTCTGTAAAAGTACATTCTGATAACACAGAATGTTCTGTAAAAGTATATTCTGATATCACGGAATGTTCTGTAAAAGTACATTCTGATAACACAGAATGTTCTGTAAAAGTACATTCTGATAACACGGAATGTTCTGTAAAAGTACATTCTGATAACACAGAATGTTCTGTAAAAGTACATTCTGATAACACGGAATGTTCTGTAAAAGTACATTCTGATAACACGGAATGTTCTGTAAAAGTACATTCTGATAACACGGAATGTTCTGTAAAAGTACATTCTGATATCACGGAATGTTCTGTAAAAGTACATTCTGATATCACGGAATGTTCTGTAAAAGTACATTCTGATATCACGGAATGTTCTGTAAAAGTACATTCTGATATCACGGAATGTTCTGTAAAAGTACATTCTGATATCACGGAATGTTCTGTAAAAGTACATTCTGATAACACAGAATGTTCTGTAAAAGTACATTCTGATAACACGGAATGTTCTGTAAAAGTACATTCTGATAACACAGAATGTTCTGTAAAAGTACATTCTGATAACACGGAATGTTCTGTAAAAGTACATTCTGATAACACGGAATGTTCTGTAAAAGTACATTCTGATAACACGGAATGTTCTGTAAAAGTACATTCTGATAACACGGAATGTTCTGTAAAAGTACATTCTGATATCACGGAATGTTCTGTAAAAGTACATTCTGATATCACGGAATGTTCTGTAAAAGTACATTCTGATATCACGGAATGTTCTGTAAAAGTACATTCTGATAACACAGAATGTTCTGTAAAAGTACATTCTGATAACACAGAATGTTCTGTAAAAGTACATTCTGATAACACGGAATGTTCTGTAAAAGTACATTCTGATAACACAGAATGTTCTGTAAAAGTACATTCTGATAACACGGAATGTTCTGTAAAAGTACATTCTGATAACACGGAATGTTCTGTAAAAGTACATTCTGATAACACGGAATGTTCTGTAAAAGTACATTCTGATATCACGGAATGTTCTGTAAAAGTACATTCTGATATCACGGAATGTTCTGTAAAAGTACATTCTGATATCACGGAATGTTCTGTAAAAGTACATTCTGATATCACGGAATGTTCTGTAAAAGTACATTCTGATATCACGGAATGTTCTGTAAAAGTACATTCTGATAACACGGAATGTTCTGTAAAAGTACATTCTGATATCACGGAATGTTCTGTAAAAGTACATTCTGATATCACGGAATGTTCTGTAAAAGTACATTCTGATATCACGGAATGTTCTGTAAAAGTACATTCTGATATCACGGAATGTTCTGTAAAAGTACATTCTGATAGCACGGAATGTTCTGTAAAAGTACATTCTGATATCACGGAATGTTCTGTAAAAGTACATTCTGATAACACAGAATGTTCTGTAAAAGTACATTCTGATAACACAGAATGTTCTGTAAAAGTACATTCTGATATCACGGAATGTTCTGTAAAAGTACATTCTGATAACACGGAATGTTCTGTAAAAGTACATTCTGATATCACGGAATGTTCTGTAAAAGTACATTCTGATATCACGGAATGTTCTGTAAAAGTACATTCTGATAGCACGGAATGTTCTGTAAAAGTACATTCTGATATCACGGAATGTTCTGTAAAAGTACATTCTGATAACACAGAATGTTCTGTAAAAGTACATTCTGATAACACGGAATGTTCTGTAAAAGTACATTCTGATATCACGGAATGTTCTGTAAAAGTACATTCTGATAACACAGAATGTTCTGTAAAAGTACATTCTGATATCACGGAATGTTCTGTAAAAGTACATTCTGATATCACGGAATGTTCTGTAAAAGTACATTCTGATAGCACGGCATGTTCAGGTGGGTTGGGAGAGATGGATATCGCGATAGTATCAGATCTAACCAGACAGATATCACGTGATTACGGAGTATTGTTGGAGGATGCTGGCCACACTCTCAGGGGACTCTTCATCATAGACGACAAGGGTATGTGGCTGAGATTATAACATATTACTTCAATAAAATAGCATTTTAATTGGTATTCGTTCTTGTTCCGGACTTGTTCCATAGACAAGGATACGGTACGTTACAGAGAGAATCGTGTAAATCGTGTTGATTATTATGTAAACGGTGACATATTAAATAGAAAGCATTTTATTTGCTCTTTTTTGTTCCGAACTGAAGGACAAATCGTAGATTGGGCAAATTTTTCGTATTTTAAAGCATGTTTTTATCAAGTTTTCTTGTATCTGGCCTTGGTCTGACGAAACAACTATTTCAGGAATTCTACGACAGATAACAATGAATGATTTACCAGTTGGAAGAAGTGTAGACGAAACCCTCAGGTTTACATTCAGTTTTGATTATTTGGTAAACGATATCTAAATGCAATGTATACAACTTATTAATCAATTAATGGGGGGGGGGGGGGGGGGGGGGGGATTAATTCATTAATGATCCACAGCTTCAGGTTGATTGTTTTATTGTAAAATCAATTTATCAACCAATTAATTTAATAAATAATTATTTAATTACCTCAGGTTGGTACAAGCATTCCAGTACACCGACCAACACGGTGAAGTATGCCCAGCTAATTGGACACCCGGTAAAGATACCCTTAAACCAGATCCTGACGGTAAACTTGAATACTTTGAAAAGCACTGTAACAAGAAATCTGGGAAATCTGACGAGCTGTAAATGTGGTTATGTGATATGTGACGTCATGTTATAAGTTGTGACGTCACGATGTGAGTTGTGACGTCATATTAGGGGTTATGGTAGATCCTGAAGAATTTTGGTTTTTTTACATTTTTTAGTCACTGTTATGACTGATAATTTTATGCTTTGCTTCAGTTACAACTACTTAAAGGACCAGTTAACTGAAAAAAAAGTTATCCTCATATTTTGACAGATTGTGACAAATAGCAAACTAAGCAACGAGTCGAAATTCCTAAATCTCTAACTGCTCTCTAACGCGTGTAAATAGCGTTTGTATTATTTTGGCGATGACGTCACGAAGTCCCTTGCGCGCACAGAGGAGCTCGTGAGAATGTATTTTATAGGTAGAAAATGGACATAATACAATGTTTTTCCCCGAATAACTCGAAAAGTAAGTAATTTAGGGTACATGTTGCTTCATAAGTTGTATATAAACATGGCCATTCTGCACAATTTACACACATTCAAAAACCTTTAGGGCCTTCATAGCCCAATTTACCAGATATCCATAGTTTTGCATGATTTCTGGAACCGAAAATCAGTTTTTCGCTAATAACTGAAAAAGTAAGCCCTTTAAGGCATATGTTTGTTCGTAAGTCATATATTAATATGCTAATTGCGGTTCTTTTGCACCCTGTCTAAAGACTCTATCACAATCCTATCGAAAATGGGCGAAGCACCACGCCCAAAATGGTTTTTGGCGAATTTCTCGAAAAGTAAGGATTTTAGGCCATGTGTTGCTCAATAACTCCTATATAAACATGCATATGCGGCTTCGTTTAAGCCTATTTTGAAGTCTCTACGACCTTCAGAAGCAAGGGGTCGGTTACCTTATTGGGTCAATATGGGCGTAGCCCTCCTGGGTTTTCTCCACTGTCAAAAAAATGTCTCCAAACGAAAATTGTTTATTCATACCTTCGGAAAGGTCTGTGCAAAGTTTCGTGATTATCTGAACATTTGCAGGTTCATTTCCATAAATGTCCATAAATGACTAGACTACACAACTGTAGAGTTAACTTCAGAGAAACTCATAAGTCATTTATCTCAAATTAAGCTGTTAGTGTCCATGATCAACCTATGGCGACAATGTTTTACGTGAAATGTAAAAATCAGGAGTAATATAAAAAGTGTATTTTTAGATTAAAGTGCTAGCTCATAGTTTTAGAATTGTATAGATTAACGTTGGTCGTTTAACCATCTAACAATCGATCGTGCCGTAATATATGGCCAGAGAATAATAGGGTCTTGGAAATTCTATAGTTGTTCAGTGGGTCGATTGACTGAACACGTTTGCACTTGGTATTTAAACTTATCAGTAGTTTATTTATGTTATGTACCGACGATAATGCAATTAGGATAACAACTAGGTAAGCCGTAAGTCTAATTCAAAACACACCGCACACCGTACACTCAAATCAGTATTGCTATTTGTATTTGGTAGACCGGGTACTTTGGCGGGAATTCTGTTCCCACGGCACAGTTCTGATAGAAGCTACTTCTACTAATGGTCCCAGAGGAACGGCTGTAAAGTAGCCAGACTTCTTGTCTCCTGTACTGGCTGACACATTCGGATTAAAGTTAGAAATTTCGCTATGCTATAAATATGATTGCTCTCGGAATTGAACAAACTCGTACTTATCTAGATCCTTTCTAAATTCGTTAGAGTTTCATGGACTGGGGAAAAATAATCGGTACAGTCTCCCTGCTTGTGTAATTAAGCAATGAAAACAATCCAAAATTATCACATATGACATAAGTTGTAATAGCAGAAACTTTCTAACCGTACATTCACCCGCCACTGTCCAAGAACCTATATCACTGTTTAAAATCATGACGTGAGCACTGTACATCCAATCAGCTATTCCTTTAGTTAGGATGATAGCCAAAACTATAAGGATTTTGGAGAACTAGGGTAATAGTCATAATTCTAAAATTTGAGTGAGTTACACGTGTTTTAATGACAACGATAAACATTTGCAACGTATTACGCTATGCCAGCGCGCACTGAGGGACTTCGTGACGTCACGAGGCCACAGCTTATTATTGCAATAACACGCGTTACACGTACGCTAGAGAGTTGGTTCATTCGGCGATACGATTCTTTACCAGTTTGTCACAGCTGATTTAAATCTTAGCCAAATTGGAGACTACAAATTTTTCAGTTAACTGGTCCTTTAAGTTTTTATAGTGCACGTTTAATTTTTCTGTTTTTGAAAATGTTTTGACATCTATGATTGAACAAGTCGGTAACAAAACTCGGCTTTTTTGTTTCAGTTATATGGTTTTGTAGGTAGGGGTTCCTTGCTTCCTTGTTTGTTTGTTGCTAACTTATTGTCTTTGATGTATTTTTAACATTTATTAGAGTTATTACATAACCATTATTTTTGCTGTTTAAATGTTTTGACCTTCTATTCAATGGTCTTACTATCAAACATTGAAATCAGTCTCCGAAACTTACAACAAAATGTATTTCAACATTTCAATTACCAAATTAATTGACTAATTAGCTAATTAACTTCTATTAATAGGATGAGGTGTGTAGTGTTGTTGTATTTGTTACCAGCAGTCCTCTCCATCAGCTTCAAACTACCAGCGGAGGGTAAAATTAATTAATTAATTATTGAATTAATTAATTAAGATATTATTATCTCTTACTTATATTATTAGCTTAGTTAGTCTAAGTCAACATTGTAAATATGTAAAAACTGTGGTATGTATCACTGTGGTATGTATCACTTATGATGCGTCTAGATTTGATATGATCGCTCTAAAACAAATGTCATCATTATCAGAGACTTTAAGTTTAAATTATTCGAATTTTCTCCCATATTTTCATACCTTACGTGCCATTCTCAATTCTCATGTGAAAAGTGCAGTGTCACTTTCAATGTACATTGTACATTGTACATCAGTACATGATGCTAATTACAGTGCAATGATTAACGATATTTTCAGGTTCGCGATGTATAAAAGAAGAAGCACACAAGGACGTTTTGGTAGTTGGGGAATTTACTGTAGAGAGCATTCCTGAGAGCCATGAAGTTGATATTCTGGTGAGATAATTAGTTAATTAATTGATTAGTTTTTACACGTGTAGGCCGCACTTTCCGCAGCTTTTATCTCACCTTTTACACCCATATCTTACTCCCAAATCCCAATGAAAATATATCCTTGTAAACAAGAATGACCGGGAATTTTGTTCAAAATGCTTTCATTCATATGGAATTTTGTGTAACATTCATTTTGATGATCCTAATTAAATTGACAGGTAAAAGACACGAAAGACCAAACACTTTTCTCGAAGGAAAAAGCAGATACAGGGAAGTTTGCCTTTACTTTGGACGACTACGATATGTTTAGTATTTGCTTCCACGCTAAGAGGTAATCTCGTTATCGGTGTCAATACAGTTTTTATATATGTATTATGTATGTATAATGTATATTGTATAGTATAGCACTATGTTTACAGTACACTAAAATGTAGATGTACTAAAGGGGGACCATTACAAGATTCCAGATCGCTTGGCTTGCCCCTCCTCATTATTTAACTCTAAATCAAAATCACAGATTCCCGATCTTCAACCGAGTAATTATTTAATATATTTAATATATTTCAGGGTTGATAATGCAGTTAGAGTGCCACCAGGAGAGGACTTGTCTGTTAAACTAACTGTTAAACGAGGAATCGAGGCTAAATCTTATAACGACGTTAGTTGCCCTTTTTTAGTTTTTATTTGCTGGTTTTTAGTATGCTGGTTTTATAACATCAAATCAAATTATAATTGCGTGTAGTGAAAATGGCAAAAACGGCAGTTGAACTTACTTTTTTTATTGCACCAAATTTATTAGTACCCAGACATCCGACACCATGTTTTTACTCGATTTAATTTAACCTCTTATCTTTAATACAAAGTTTAAATATTAACAACCGTTTCTTTCAGCTTGCTAAAGCCGAAAAGCTGAAGCCCATGGAACTAGAACTGAAGAAACTTGAGGATCTGGCAGAGGCAATCGTCAGCGACTTTGCTTACATGAAGTCCAGAGAAAAGTTAATGAGGGACACAAACGGTAAGATGACGCGACTCCATGTGTCTGGTAACCAAAGAGTTAATTCATCACCAGAAATGTCGGTCACAGTGTGCAACGCTTGGTGACGTAGCGCGCGAAGCCTCTTGTTTGTACCAAGTTTCTAGTTTTATTCCGCTATCTTATTGCGTTTGAAACTTGGCAAATTGTGCCACGTATAGTACGGGTGAAAGATTAAGTTGAAAACAAACCAGTTTTACTTCCCTTTCAATAACTTATTCATTAGTTTGATAACCACTTTAAAATATAACTTTCTAAAATTGTTGCTTTTGCTATACTTAACCAGACCACTTAATGGACACGTCAACCTTGTAGGATGCGCGCATTGCGCGCGCGTCTAACCTACTTACTCGTCAATATTCCGCTGTCCGACAAATGTATAGGACATTTCAGGCTAAAATCTAAATCCATACTCTAATCTAATATAACGTATGTTATTTGCATTAGTATGATGAAATAGGTAAAAGTAAAGCTCGAGACTAACGGCTGGTATTATCTTCAATTTGATTTGATTTGAAATTAGTCGTAGAACGTAATGGGGTAGTTCGACACATTGCAACTAATGCCTTTCATTGCTTTATAATCAGCCGAGGGAGAGGGGGTCTCCAAATGATAATACCCTATTGTGATTTTGACACAATATCTATGTGTAAAAATGATTATGGAGTGATAACGTAACATGTGAACGACCCATATGTGCTAACATGTCACACGAATCTAACCCGCATTATTTCAGAGTCAACTAACAGTCGGGTGCTGTGGTTCAGTATTTTCTCTATGGCAGTGCTCCTTGGCCTGGCCCTGTGGCAGGTCTTCTACCTGAAGCGATTCTTCAAAGCCAAGAAACTTATAGAATAAACTGCGTCTTCTTCCTCAGAACATTTATATTATATTTTGAAGTTTTTACGATCTATTTATTTTGATGGTAGACCATTTGAGTATCACGTTAAAACTTATAATATACGTAATTGTGATTGTATGTAATTTACAGTGAGGTTCGCGAAATTGTATCGATTGCATGAGCTGGTCTTGGGGTTTGGTTTCTGGTGGGAAGGCAAACCATATTTTTTGGGTCATGTAACAGTGATTAGCAAATCAGCTTCCAGCATTGACCAATCAAGGCCCGAGTTCAAAAAATATGGTTCACCTCTCAACTAGTATCCAGATATAGGGTTTCATATAAAAACTGGTACAGTAAAATCCTGATTTACTAACCCCGATTACCGCGGCCATTTCCTTTCCCCAAATAGGGCTTATCGTGCATAAGGTGAACAAACTGAACCCCGATCCACCAAGGTTATGTCTTTTTCCTCAAACTCCACGGTAAATCGCGGTTTTACTGTACTTATAAGTAAATATAAATATATTAAGGATAGGCCAAGGTTTCGTTTTTCTGGGGACCTTTTTTTCTTAAAATGTTCACATGATCCAATATTTGAAGTAACTTTTATTCCGCAATTTGAGTTTGGTTTATTTTACATGGCGTAGGTAATTTATAGGATCATCATTGACACGATTAATGTGTGCCATGGAGGGGTTATCATCTAATTAGATTTAATTAATTAATGATTTAATTATGGCACACGTAATATGGTAAAAATCGGCTGTCGTCTGCTGTCTAAAATTATCTTTATTTTTCTTTTTTTTGTAAAATTCAGTCCAACAACTCCGAGGAGTTATCCAAGAAGCATCTAAATTTCAACATGTGCGACGGGACAACATCATAAACATCAGATTAATGTCCTGCTAAGTTATTAAATTCTTTTAACTAAATAAGATTTCTCAATTGTTGAAAACAGATGATCTTAATTTGCATAGGTTACAAGTTTAAGTAATGTATTGTTTCTTATAATAAATTTTCTTTTGTGGACCGGTTTAAATTGTCGTTTATTTCTGTCTTACTTTCATCGATCATTAAATGACAAAAAGAAAGAAATGAAATAATTTAATCCCTTCTTGAAAAATTGCCAATAATATCCCTAAAATGACTATTGACTAAAGGCTGATGTTTCTCGTAAATACAGAAGCAGTACATTTTGTCCCGGTAATGGGTACGAACCATTTGATGCTACTCTATCAAATATTTGGGTTCATAATCCAGCGTCGTGATTAGGATAAGACCCCGTATGATCGCGATAACTCGACATTGACCAAGCAACGAACTTGACCATAAAATAAATGAGGGATTGCCAGCAATATTCTCTAACATGTAGTTCTTAGTCAATTAACCAAGCACCATTGTAACCGTCGTACTGTTTAAAAAATTTTCCAAATCAAGAACTTCAATCATTTAAAAATATCCCTGAAAATGTACACACGGTACGACAGTATGTGGTGTCATACAAATACAATGGCTGCCAGAACCTATGATCAAGAAATCATAACTGCTGTCGACTATTTTCCAGCATTTATGCCTATTGCCTAAGTGCTAAGATCCAGGAAACGTACTTACTTACAACTTATTGAGTAATATCTTAAGTCTTAACACGTGATCAGCTAAGTCTAAAATGCCCATATCGTATAATATCTGATCTTCAAGAGGGTGCGGTCAATGGAAGTCTTCTTGAAATTGATAACCGTTGGTATTTCAGGAATTTTTCGAATCATTGTTTGTCCATTAGCTATTGTGAAGTACGTCTTGAGCATTTATATTTGTGTAAGACTACTGTCCCTCAATTCCCCAAGTCTCCTTTGATCTGTAATTATTTAACAAAACAAGTAGAAACAATAGTGCCATACTGGTTACCAATTAACATACAGTTTGTTAATGTTGACCCATGGTCCACATTGACATAGTTTCGATTGAGCTTCTTAAACAAGGTGGACATTTAAAAAATTTGAAGCTTTGCCAGCAGTGTGCGACTAGTTTAGGGGTCGTTCACATTAATCAGGATATTAATTCATTGAAGATTGACAAAAGAAAACAAAATTTGAATCATTAACTCTGAAAATTCTAAGTTATAAATATACATGACAAGCTCTCAGTACATTACTAAAACGTAAATATCACACTGACCAAAGCTTGATCGTCCCCGAAAGTGTGCATGAACCCAAAATTTAATTGACCCTTTATACGAGGAAAATACAACGAACATGAACCAATTAATTTTGATCACATCTGAAAATGTATTTGAAAAATTAACTATCGTGAGGACACAAAAAAAGAGCTCGGTATTAGAACCCTTGTTAACAAAACTAATCGCAGGATGTTAGGGTTAACCCTTTGGAAAACAACTCGGATAAAATGTAGTTAAGATATGTATCTCTGGGTGCTATCCGAGATTCGTGCCTCATATCATGGTATTAATATAGATCGTTCCGTAATTTAATGCAAAAATGTATAAATACCGGCAGAGACAAATATAAATAGTGATAAATAATTAATACTTATGTAAATACAGCGTGAAAAAATCAATTTACAACCAATAATGATACTCTAATTTTACTACTTAGGGCGCGTGATATGGTTACTACAGTGTCGAAAATCTTTAATTAAATTATAACTTAGTTTGATTAAATGACATCTCTAATAAATTAAAGATTAATGATAGTCATTGGTTATTTATTGTGGAATTACAAATCTCGACACTGCAATTATCATGTTCACTGTCCTGTATTATTCACGGTACTTGGCCCTTTAAATTAAATATTATAACACAAAAAAATCAACGGATATGGCAACTCGGAATGAACTTCATTGTCTCGAAATGAACTTCATGGTCTCGAAATGAACATGTGTCTAGAATAAACATGTGTCTAGAAATGAACATGTGTCTAGAAATGAACATGTGTCTAGAAATGAACATTCCTTTGAAGACGGAAACTAACATTCCTCTGACGAAACTCTACAAATCTTCGTTCAAACACAACATTTCACTGCCTCTTCAACACAGCACCACTCAACAGCATCTTCAATTTCCAATGACGTCACACACATACTGATGACGTCACAAAAGACTTATGACGTCACATTTCAGCAGCACCTTCTACGGTATGAGGTGGTGGGGTGGTAGGAGGGTTGGTGGTGGCGGTGGGTGTGGCAGATTGCACAGGATTTTACTGGGGCGAACTCTTCTTCGGAGCTGTAGTTACTTTCACTGTCATCGTACGTTCTGCGTGTCCTGCGGAGGAAGGGGTTAGTTAAACAATATTAATATAGGAGATGTATATATATAATATATATATACTGTATATTAATATAGGAGGTGGGAGGGGCTGGGTTAATTTGAATTCTTATGATACAAATCTCGCTCTCGATTTTGTCATTTGATGAAATCATGGGAGTATATGTTTCCAATCAACAATCCTATAACAAGAAATAACGAGTAAAAAGTACAGGAAACACGTACCTAGCATAGTTCTGGTTCTCCGCTACACGAGGTGTGGTAAAGTCACGTACAGTAGCACGACTAGACACGTCACGTGGGCCGTTCAAACGCGAGGCTACATTCCTTCGAGCAGTCTGGAGAGGGGAGGAGGTGTTAGAGAGGGCTTTAGGTGTGGTGAGAGGGTTAGAGTTAAAGTGGTTGAATTTTTGTGAACAATATTTCTGGACTCGTTATTCACGAAACCCGGAGGAATTTATAGGCGAAGTTTAAACAAGTCACGTGACAGTCTAATAAAACAATAAAATGAGTCTCTTGTGAAATAAAAACTCACTCTGCGATGGAGTTCGCTAGCTCTGAGATCACAGTCTGAACAGAGTCCGTCTTTTAACCAGAAACATGATTTACTACACGAGTTGCATGGTCTCCGTTCTGTTCGGACCTGGAGGTGATTCTGTTAAGAAATGTTCTAGACTATTAAACCGTGGGCAATAGAATACAATATTCTTATTATTAGGAGCAGGATAGAAAACACGTGGGTTTTAAGATAAAAACAGATAAAAGCCAGGATATCTCAACATTCCTAAGATGCCTAACTAAAATCACCAGACAGCCAACAAACCTGGTTAGTCTTCCTTGAAGATCTGAGATTATTATGCTCGGTATTATTCTGAGGTGTCTTCTGAGCAGACTGGACTAGGAGTCTTCGGTACATGGTCCTTGCTTTCTTCAGACAACTCTCTCGGCGGATCTGGGCGCGCAGCATCACGTCACTCGACAGGTTGTTCAGGGTTGTGATCTGTTTGAACTTGCCTGGGGAGGGTTTAGAGTCAGAGGTCACGTGATAACTTCAGAGGTACTTTAATGGTCTGATTGAGTCAGATATTTTAGTACATGTGCCCTAGAAATGGTAAGCGAGAAATAAACTAATTAATAAACATACCAGAAGTGGCATACTGAAAATACAATCTATAAATAGACAAATTATAGTGTCCACATACTTGCAGCGTTGGTATAGAATGCCAGCGAGAGAGCCATCTCCCCCTTTGTCTCCAGTCTTTCTCCCTCAGAGGAGAAGTTGTCACCTTCACTGAACATGTCCTCTACCGTGTTTAGCTGTCGTCTTTCTTCTGAGGAGAGGGGGTCATTAGAATGAGGTTAGAATGAGGTTAGAATGAGGTTATAATGAGTTTAAAATGAGGTTAGAATGAGGTTAGAATAAGTTTAAAAGGAGGTTAGAATAAGTTTAAAAGGAGGTTGGAATACGTAAGGGTGAAATGGGGTGCATATTAAGATTCACATTAATTCAGCTATAGAATTACGCAGTACGTAAGCATGATGTCAGTGGTGATGAGAGTGAAGGGAAAGTTTTAAATGCGGACAGAATTTTGATTTTGTTTTCAGAACGAACGGTTGAGAGACTAATAGTAAGTGAAATGCCAGTGGATCTAGATAGAAAGGTGGTGATTTTTAAAATACGTACTTTTTTTCTGTTCGCAGAAATCTAAAATTCGGTTGACTGTCAAAATTAGACTAGTTCTACTGGGATCCATCTGAAGCTCTTCAAAAATTTCGGCAAAAATCTCGACAAAAAGTAGCGGGAGTTCGGTAAAATTGAGTGCAGTGCGAGGTAAAATGCGCTAAAGTGCTGTAACCCTAAGGGAGAGCACGTGACGGAATTAGTACGTCCACGTGAGCAAATTTAACCGTTCTCATTGGCTGACACCACGTGCGCCTTATTACCATGGAAACCCGATGAGAGTTTAATAGTTGCCGCGGAAATTGAACTCTATCAAATTGACAATGACATTTCACTATTCATCTGTGGAGAAAAGAGCTTGTATGATTAATATGGTGAAATAATTCATAGGATCCAAACCCTAAAGGTTTGTTTCAATATTCAATGTTGTTTCTACGATATCCAATTATAAACCCGTTCTTACGGTTCAATGAACAAGGGCGCAGGCCGCAGTCTGGATAATTTTACAAAGACTAAGAGCTGAATTTATACGCAAAATTTGTAATTAGCAGGATCGTTGTTTTTAGCTTTTTCCGGGGGCCTTCTGGCCCTCAAACCAATAATTAGTCACTTTCAGTTTACCTTTAAAGTTATTAGAAGCCCTAGAATAGTTAACGAGAAAACTGTGTGGTTACATAATGATCCTCGATTATGTGAGTTAAGTAAGAAAAGAAGCTCGATAAAGTTCACATAGTGGTGAGTGGTGATGGTAATTATGGAAATTAACATCGATGCAATTCATTAATAATAAAACGCTGATTTTAACATTTTGGTGCATCTGTGATCTGATCTTAATACCTGTGGAAGAACAGCTATCCGATGTTGAACTGACTGTTTTCAAAAGCATGATTCCTGATATCTTCGCTAAAATAAGATACATTGAGATTTCAATTCGATAACTAACGCAAAAGATGTTGAAATCACAAATAATGAAAATCAAAAATATTGGGAGCAATCTGTCAGTCAGAAGAATGGCAGTTAAAAAACTGGAACATGAGCCAACACGTTCCTCGATTGCTTGGGCATGCGTCATAATTCTGCATGGCAGTCAACATACGAAATTCTCAATTCTGTAAAAAAATAAGGAATAAAGGCAATTATTTAGAGACTGGAAATCGAAAGGAAAGAAAGATCGCGCAAAACAAAACCAAACCGTCCACACTAAAAATTGTAAAAACGCGCGAGAAAGCCCGCGAGAAACGCGCAAGAACTCTTCGACTAAAGTGCACGTGCAATAACAATAATAATATGCGCTACACTCACGTGCGTTCAACGCGCAATAGGACATCAAGAAAAGTGGCCTATATTTCGTTTCTTGTTACATCCAGCTTATGTTACCAGTCAATAATTCAAGGATACCAATTGGTAAATGACATCTTACGGGAATTGAACAGTAAAAGCTAGGAAATAAAAATAGATACAAATACAAAATGCTAACTATTGACCAATGATCAAGCAAAATAAATAACTAACAAGTAAAGTAAAGAAAGCGCAAGAGGACCCTGCCCACGCATCCGTCCCTAGTAAACCATACCGAGCAGGGAAATCAGACTGTTACTAGACTAGGGTTGTAGAGGTACTAACAAGGGGGCCGGAGTGCAAGCTAAACATGTGACACACGTTCAGGAGTCTGCACGTGTGATGTGGAAATGGGTTGGCGTGTGCTGAGTATACAGATTACTTGAGATAAACGTGTTAAAAAACAAAGTTTTACGATTGGAAAGTTGCCAAAAGCTCAAAAGGTCCTCATCAGTATAAACTAAAAGTAAAGAAGTTAAGATGTGAAACTAGAAATAATAACAACTTAACAACTGTAGGGAAAGTCTCGGGACTGGTAATTGGCATGAACCGTACCAGATATTCTAGCTCAACTCCAACAAGGTAAAGCAACACACAAATCACAAAAACTCTCGTATAACAGTAACACTAACAGTGAGATCAAAAGTCCCAGAAGTACTAAAGAGCTAAATGCCCATCTTCCGTTATAGGTGGAGTTGGACCACTAACCAATCAAAACACTTTATTTTATCTCTCATTAGCGATACTGAATGATCAGGTACCAGTAGGGTTTCTTATTAATTGGTGGCGACGTTTTTAGGGGTTGGTATATCAGATTGTATGATATCTTTCCCGCTATCAAGCCACGCAATCGTAAAGAACTCATCTACATTATATGAATGTTTTGAAATCAAAGTTCTACATGTATTATATCTATCTGGATGGGATGTGAACCATATTTTTTGAAATCGTGACACGATTAACCAATTAACTTTCAGCTTTAATACATCAAAACCCAGAATCTCTGTCACGTGTCAAAACGAATATAGTTCACCTCCCCACCATTTTCCAGGTCTATTATAACCATACAAGAAGGGAAACGAAGAATAATAACTATAAGCAGTTAGCAGATAAGACGACTACACGATTACAGAAAAGTGACGTTGAGCAGCTCAAACACAGACAGACACAATCTTCAAAACCTTGGGATGAGTACCTACAGTCTACAGTCTACTTCAATTATAGATTACGTGGAATGTTCCAGAAAATGTGGGAGGAATTCTACATTGACTTGTTTGAGGAGATAATGGTCAGCGTCGCTGTTTTAAAATTTAAAGAAACCTCAAAAAAAATATCAAAACGTTATCATCACATTCACAAAGTTTCCAGAAAACAGTAAAAACCTGGCGCAACTCGGGGAATTTTAAAACTGTGAACCCGATCCTTGGAACCGAGCCTGAAAGTTAGCAAGAAGTTAAAATTTAATTAAACGCCAATTCAGGACTTAGACGAGCATACAGGAGCGAAAATAACGATTTGCAGTCACATGTTCAAGAACATTCTTAAATACCATGGCAACCCCCTCATGATTCGGGCAATCGTGAATCTTGATTATCCAATTAGAATGAAGCGTTTAAACCACGTGAGGCAAACCACCCAATTACAGCACTTCATTTGGGTCACGTGACAAAACATGGCCAATGAGCGGTGCTGCCCGCACTAAACTCTGTATCATGAGGCGGTAGGGAGCGTGATTGGTTCGGACCAGATTTAGGTCGGGTAATTAACTCTTATCGGCGAATTTTCCGTAATGAGGTGCCAAATGAGTATTGGATAGTCGGGGGATCTTACGTAATCGGAGATGAAACTGGGGAGGCAGCTCTGTGGGGAAGTGGATTTGGTGCTTTCCTCTAACTTACGTTTTTAAAACTTTATATTGATAAGAACAGATGTCGTGTGGTTTGAGAGAAAATATTTAGTAATTGGAGATCTCCAATTTGGACTAGACAAAACAGTGCTAGTAATGATCATGTGAGAACTGAAAAGTCACTGGCAGTTCTTATACTTACAGCAAAACTACAGAATGGCGATTAATAAAATTGTCGTGGTTTGGAGCAAAAAAACAAAGCGATCAGCCCCATATCAGGTCGACTGGATTGCAGACTTTCCGCTGACAAAAAAATCTAACGTAAAACTCAACCGTCAACTCTAGATATTACACCCTAGATATCACCAGCAACAACAGCAATACCTTTTCACACATCAGGTCAAATATAAAAGGGCAGGGTCTCCCTCAGATGCATTTCAAAATGGGCAACATCTCACAACCAATCACAGGACAGCGTTCAAACCACGTGACACTCGTGCTCCCAACCAAGCACATTAGCGGATCATCAAGCAAAGCGTTACAACGTCCTTCTTGAATACTGATCGCTCATTGGTCAGATTATTCAATAAAGTGTTTTGATTGGAGGGGAGCCGATCAGGATATAACTATAACGTATTATTAATGTATTCAATTGGAGCATGTTGGAAAGGGCCAATGTTCCTGGCCCATGAATAAAATGGCTCGTGGGTACATCTAATAGCATTTTATGTCTTCTCATTAATATCTTGAAGTATGGGAAATTGGTGAGAAGCTGTAACAAGTTTACGGTCGAGAGGTTATGGAGAATATTAGCAGTTTTCTCACGAGGTCTACAGACTACAGAATACAGACTGCAGAGCTCCCCATTTTTATTTGGGACTTTAGAGATAGAATAATGACCGTTAGTCATGCAATCAGTAATGACTTGTGCTCTGCAGGAACGAGAGAAGGTGCTGTTTAAGATTAAAGAGTATCACATTTACTATCCTTACCGCAATTATAATACAGTTAGGAAGAGGAGGCTGATGTAATAATGTTATTTATAGATTGATTATCAAGTGTCAATTTTATCTGCTACACTATGGGAGATGGCTATTTTTAGTATACGAGAATCACAGAAATGATTAGAGATGAAGTTACAAAAACTCAATCGAAAAACACCAGCACAAAAGATACTATCTGCAAACTGAAAAACTTTAGTAATTTTAAGATGTAGACATTGTTAGTAAACAAGTTTGGCCAACAAGCAAGTTTTAAACTTTATGATTAGTCATCAGAGAGATTTCGGTATAGAGGTCACCAAATTCAATGCTTCATTCAGACTCCAGCACAAAGGCTACTTAACAATCAGAGATCCAAAGATTCCTTAGATGCTACTGTCAATGAATAAACGCATTGTTGAGGTGAATGGTTGTAGAAAAGAGAACAATAAACAAAAACAAGTATTTTGGACAGATGGCACTCGAGGCACAAGTCTTTGAGTGAACCAATTTATTATGTGCTCCGTTGGCAGAGTAATTGAGAAAAGGTGTGACCGAGACCGCCGTAAAAGACGAAACAAACCAAAGAAAGAATAACTAATCGAGTTTAAAAACACAACATGGAAAGTTTAAAACTTAAGAAAAGTATCATAATTATAAGCCACAAAACAACAAACAAACCAAGTACTGAACAGCTAGAATGAAGAATGGACGAAACCAGGGCGTCACGACCCTCATTATCATCCACATTAAAGCAGCTCCCAACATTAAAGCAGCTCCCTCGGTTCAATTAGTGAAGCTGTACACTTCCAATTGGAATGCAAACCTCAAACTAACATTAAACAAAAGAATAAGTATCCTTAAAAGACAAGCCTCTGGGCACCAGTAAGGTATTATAGGAATGCGGTTTTTAGCACAATGGGGATCTCATGAAATAAACAATCGCACTCACTTCACAGTTCATATCTTGCTTTTGTACCCAGGCCTCCCTCATTACACAACCCGCTTTCCCAGGGACTGTGCGAGCTTTCTGATTGGTTGGTGACGTACCATGTGATCAGTAGCGGGGTTGTGATTGGTTGGTGACGTGCTACGTGATTACAACAAGCAGGGACACGCTTATTGGTTCGTGACAGCCATGTGACGCATGTTGACCAATCAGAGAGCGGTATTCTAATCACGTGACAAAAACCATCGAATCAGAACATTCCAGTAAGCACTTGATCACGTGATGGAAATAGGGCACTGGGAACGAATCTTGCTTCACATGTTACCAAGTCACCATGATGAATATTGACACACCGTGTGAAGTTTGAATTACGAAGGAGCAATTCATATTTATCAAATACGGTGTGCTATCCGATATCAGATGTTTGGTCATAGTCTTGATATTTGAGCCCAAACAGAGGACGCTATCGAAAACATTTTGATATTTTACCAAATATATAAATCTGCTTATTATACCACTAATTATACACTAATTATACACTAATTATACACTAATTATAGGCCATCCACCAAATATTGAAGCTCTACTCCCGTTTAGTTGATTAACTGCAACAACTAATCACAAACTGTCATAAAATAAGGCTGCTTTCTGCACATTGCACGGTGCAGGCAACACAGCACAAATAATCTGCGGTGCACAAGAATAGTTAAGCCAAAGTGTTGGGTGTAAAAATAACATCACCTGCTTGTTAATGTAAACAACTTACTTTAACACTGCATATTTTGTGTAGGAAGTCACGGCAAAAGTATTAACCGTACAAGCAAAACGATACAAGCAACAACTAGCTTTAAGTCTAGTTCATGAACATTGACCCCCTTCTTTCAACTTTTCCTGATCGACCCTTGAGCTAGCAGCAACAAGCCATACATATAGCATCTCACAAATTATACGTACATCTGAGATCATGCAAGTAGCACTTTTCAACAAAGAACCACAAAAATCCAACAGTATTTCCAGGAAACTACCGACTATGTACCAACCACCAAACATTAGAAAAACCAGGTATAAATCTAACAGTAGTAACACTACCTAAGTAACTATAAGTTAAACTATAAGACGGACAGACCCCTCAGACCTCCACATCCCCCAATTACACAGAGTACCGTATAGCTCACCCTAAGGGGTGGTCAGAATACCCCTCTCTCACTCAGCGAGACCCTGACCAACCAGCGGACTGTGTTCAAGTCATGTGACACAAACCCACCAATTAGAAGTGTTATGGTGTTAGTTAGAATACCCCATACTCTCTCTATTAGTATTACCGGTACTAATACTACTGTGTTATTCTGTCAACCCTCAACTTTCTTGAGACATTTGGTGACCAAGTCCAGACTGCCGATCGGGTAGCTGGAATTTAGTCACGTGACACAAAGCGACCAATGAGGAGCGTGTATTTTAGTCACGTGACACAAAGCGACCAATGAGGAGCTTGTATTTTGGCACTACATGGTGTGGGACTCAGGCTAAGGTTATGTTCACGTGAACTGAATGTTGAGAGGAATCAGAAATTAAGGAGATTAAAGTAATCTCGGGACGATTAAACCCTCAACTTTAAATCGAAATCCTTAAAAAATAGATCTGAAATAATTACCCGAAACTCTAACACAATCTGACAAAACTACAGAAGTTTATTTACTAATCGTGGGACATTCAGTATTGTGATGAAAACAAAGTTAAAAAGAGCACTGAAACAGTAGATTTGCAGCATGCAGACACTAATACAAAGCACTGCCAACAAGCTTTTAAAAGTAGTAATCATTCTCAGAACAAGCCTAGTTCACACCGCACACAAATCAATATGTTGTAACCACCCCTAGCTAACAATCAACAATCAACAACTACCCTGGTCAACAATTAACAGAGTACAAGTGCGCTGTTATTCCGACACAGGTCTCTATTCGGACTTTTAACAGCACAGTTGAAAGCTAGAAAACACAGCCTTCCTCACTAAAAGTATAAAACACAGAAGAACTCCCCGATTATTATAGTACGGGTAAGTGTGCAGACTCAACAAACTTGTTGACAAGACAACCTTACCCCACACACCACGTGACTACACCTCGTGACTAACCACGTGACTACACCACGTGATTTCACCACCACTTCAGACTTGCCCCCCCTCTCAGCAGCTCGGGACACCGCCGCCAGTGTGAAGATTGTGTGCTATCATCGGGGAGGCTGTTACTATAGTAACACGTTTTATAGTACAGGAATAGAACCTCTGATAAAACACTCTGCCTTAGCCAATCAGAAGACAGATACAAGCCACGTGATTGTTGTTTCAGCCAATCAGAGAACAGTACTAAGTCATGTGACAGCCTTGTCAACGGGATGGAACTATATCTCAAGAGAGATGGGGTCTGGAGAAGTCCCAGGAGTTTTTACGGTTGACAACTGGCAGAGGGGTTATGTGTGTTATTTGCCCTAGAGATAGAGATAAGAGTTGTTCGTGAATAATCTGTACAAATATAAAGTTGACAGCTCTAGATTTTCCGCTAACCTGAACCTTTTACCCTCCTTTTTGTAGGATTTGATGACCACATATGTCACGGTATTTATGTTGTCACTAGCGGTGGGGTTAGTGAAGTGTGTCCGGGTTAAAAGGAGTTACATTTAAATGGGTATTTTTGGGTGGAGATCAGAAACCGTAGTTTAGTGATAATGACCACAGCCCCCTACGAAGAAGAAAATCAGAAACCGACAGAAGACTGTGAACAAATTTAAATTTATATAACAACAAGGTTTGCAACAACAACAACAACAATTAATATATATGTTATATGCTCTAAAAACACGAGTAATCCAAACAAATAGTTGAGCTACTCAACTTAGAATAACAGGTAAAACAGTAAGAACTAAAGTATAAAGTAAGTGAGTATTCAACATTGGAATAACAGGTAAAACAGTAAGAACTAAAGTATAAAGTAAGTGAATATTGGTCAGTAACACGGATATGAAGACGGTAACCTCGTGTGGTGACCACAAGCTAGATTCAACTGTAATGTTAACACAGCTTTCAAATATGGGGTCTACTCTGTATTTTTGGGACACAAATCACGTAAGTTTGTGGTGAAGTGTGGGCAGAGATTGGTTGGTAGACCTTTTAAGAAGGTAATAGCACAGTGTGCCCAGTGGGAAATAGTCTAATAGTTGTCTCGTTAACTGCAACTAATTGCACTGTAGTACTTCGTTCCCATGGTAACCAATAGTAGGTTAAGTCAGGTATCACGTGACAGGCCGTGAAAAGTCACGTGATGACTTAAATTGTCATGTGATGATGTCCTTTAGTTCCGTAAACATGTGTGTGGAACTGTGTGGGGAGTTTGTCAAATTGTGACAATTTCATTTCCTCTAAAATTGTAGCTAGGATTTTAATTTTCAGACTATCTATGTTCTATACGATCGTATATTCATTTTAAAATTTCTATCTAAATCAACGTGATAGCGGGGTTTTACACTTGTGCTGAGAACGAAGCTTTTTATTTTGTGAGAAGGACGAAATTCTAAATAGAATTTTTGTTCAAATGTTTAAGGAGCAGACTTAATTTAAAATGTGACTGGTCCTCCCTATGTGAATGGGGCGTGCAACTAATGTACAGGAAATAGTGTGACAAATAATGTGACAAATAATGTGACAAATAGTGTGACAAATAGTGTGACAATTTTAAGGTGAATTGGAACATAATAGTAATTAAACTAGTATGCCTGTCAAAATTCAAAATTTTACGCTATGATTTAGCGTCAATTTAAAAATTAGTTTAAGCCTGACTTATTACATAAAATATAAAAAGTTAACAATTACTTACGATTTTCGTTAGTCTTCATGATCTTTAGTTGATGTAGAGCTGAGTGAAAGAAAGCGTTGAGAGCCGCGTAATTCTGGAGGTATACTTCTGATTCTACAGGGGGGAAGACATGGAGTTAGTTAAAATGGCGAACAAATAAAAAATAATAATTAATAATAAATAAATGATAAAGTTTAACTTTTAATTTGTTACTTTTTATGTTTTGGATAGTAATTACCTACGTAATTGGGAGTCTATTCAGTTAAGTCAGTATTTATATTTTATACTGAAGACAAAGGGTTAGTTCTGAGAACTGCTACGTTTAAAGTTCTATTAATAACTTTTTAAGCGATCATTTATTTACACTGTATTTAAATTGTAGGTAAGTAATTTGATTAATCGTTGCGAATAGAATGATTGATAATTAAATCTTACAGCGTTACCACGCGCAAAGGGTAAAGATGAAAATATTAATTTATTAATACAAGAAAGTGAAGTAAAACACGAGAAATGATAAGTGCAAAAAAACTTGACAAATTAAGCGATTGAAGCGTTAAGAATTCATTATATGAGGACTTATTTGAATTTATAACCTTACAATTTAGCGAATGAACATTGAAGAAATAGGATGTGAATATAGAAATTCGACAGATACATGACCATAAAAATAGAAGCTAGAGTAAAAGAACTGTCGTGAACTTGAAAAATACCTTGAATAACTTGAAGAATACCTAGCTTAACTCAGAATAAAATATTTAAATACCTGGTTTTTTAGTGGGCACTATAGGGGACATAACCAAGACACACAGACGAAAAATTCAACTAAACTTATAACTAAAATCTACAAATCTCAGAATATGTACGATGAAAGATGTCCAGACAACTCAAACACAGAATTGAAACTTGTAGTAATGAAACTTGTTATATTACACAGACCAATGCGACAGTCCTCAACATAAAGTTTCAGATTTTAGTGTCTCACTCTGAAATTTGACACAGGCACTATATGTCTGTATCACGTAGATACGGGGTTCTCTGTCTGGAATGTGTCACGTGTTTTGTAAATATCACGTGGTATTTTATGAATGTCACGTGATTTTAGTTGTGATTTGATCCCAGGATCAAGAATATCATGTGACGAAGATAAGAGGTTCTATTGGTTCGATGGAGATTAGAATGGACTAAAATTAGGATTAAGGTATTGAGTTAGTTTACAGTTTCAATAATCAGTAATGCGGATATTGATAAGGTTTCAAGAAGTAATTAAACTAATCACAACATAATTAAAGTAATTTCCGCGAGAATAATTAATTATAATAACACATTGACTCATTGAAATTGGATCACCCATCAACAGTCAACAGGAAAGGCTCATGAAAAACGCTATTGAGACGTCCATTCTTAACAAAAATGCTGGCCTCCCGCCACTTATTTGCTACAACAAAAAATTAAAACGAGTATTAAAAAAAACAACAACACTTCTGTTGACTTATTGTCCTGACGTGACCGAGCTGTATCACGTGACCGAGCTGTATCACGTGACCGAGCTGTATCACGTGACCGAGCTGTATCACGTGACATAACCAAGCTATATGTTACAGGGGGCATTACTTGCACAACATTCTAATGAGAAGCAGAACTCTGAAACGTCTCCAACAAGCAGCTGATAGAAGTACTGATAATTGAGAGTATCATAAAACTCTACTTCAATTGGTTTTGTAATATAGAGGATTAGGATGGAACTGAAACTGACGTTTAAATGTTGGAGAATTAAAAAAATGTTGTGATTGAAGGCTACGTTTATTCGTTGCTGTTTGTAATTTCAGACCAGAGACAGCACATACATAGCTTACGAAAAAGCAAATAAGGCTTACGATAGTAATCCAGGCTATTAATCGTACCCTGCAAGCATGACACTGATTAATAGTTACCACTACAGACCAGGTGTCAGAGTAAAGCACGTGCCAGAGTAAAGCACGTGTCACAGCTTGTAATGACAGTGAAAAGCAAGCTTGTAATGACAGTGTTCGCGTGAGGTAAACAGTAGGGGGTACAGTATTACACTAGCTTGTTGTCATGGTAACACGAGTTTAAGTTGTCATGGTAACATGGTTGTCACGTGATTTGTAATAAGTTGGCTGGACAGTTTATTACTCAGATAGAGTGGATACTAGTTTTGAGGTCAGGTAATTTGTTAATATTCGCGAGAATTTTACGCAGATTTTACGAGGATTTTACGAAGATTTTAAAGAAAGAGAAGTTGGTGAATACTTTGTAGTGTAAACTGTGGACTTGGTCTAAAAATATAGTTTATTCAGGGGGAGGTTTAGAGTTTCAGTACAGCATACAATTACATAACCTCAACATGTTAGTCGCAATTATAAAGGTCTTCATAATCTAACGACTGACGTTATAGAATACACTCTGTGTAATTAACGGAGTAGTAGAACACACTATGTGTAATTAACGGAGTAGTAGAACACACTCTGTGTAATTAACGGAGTAGTAGAATACACTCTGTGTAATTAACGGAGTAGTAGAACACACTCTGTGTAATTAACGGAGTAGTAGATCACACTCTGTGTAATTAACGGAGTAGTAGATCACACTCTGTGTAATTAACGGAGTAGTAGATCACACTCTGTGTAATTAACGGAGTAGTAGATCACACTCTGTGTAATTAACGGAGTAGTAGATCACACTCTGTGTAATTAACGGAGTAGTAGATCACACTCTGTGTAATTGACTGAGGTGTTGAGGAGAACCCTCAGGGTGGGCAGAGTGCGCGGCTACAAATATAAAACAGCATTAGAGTACTATAGAGAGTACTAGAGACTATTAGAGGGCATTAGAGAGCATTAGGGCGGTAGTAGTAGTAGGGTAACTATGACAAGCTGTACAGTGTTCACCCTGTAGCTATAAAATAACCTTTTAAGGATCCAGGAGTGTTGTACTTACCCTGGTGTTCAAATTAAAAGGCCGGGGAATGTGGGATCTAGTACACTACTGTCTAGACGATTATTAAAGTAAGTATTGAGGCCCCTAATGCCCCTTCCACCAAGCATGCACCCCTCATGGTGTGAAGTCAGTCCCGTTAACAGAGCCCTCCTCCTAACTAAGGAGCCCTAGTTGAGCCCTGTTCTACAGCTGGTATAGTGAGGTGCTGTACCCTGAGGGTGGAGGGGGGGGGGGGGGGGGGGGGGGTACACCTGATACTCAACACTGACCGTACTGGTGGATAATATAGTGTTAATTAACTGTGTTAATTATGGTAGGTCATTGTAAGACTAGTGAACTGGTGATCTGGTGAGGTGTAGTGTACCTTAGGGGGTGGTGGTTACAGGGTATTTACTAATACCGAACTATTACCGCACTAATACCGCACTACAGGTACGGAAGGGGGTCTAAGATCTATTAGGATTAAGACGACTTGCAGCGACTTTGGTTTGAGTTAAAAGCTCTAAAATCATAACATCAGCTGAAGTTGAAAACGGGAATTTATATCATATCTCGATTATGATCGTTAGAAGCAACCTAAACTGGTCTGCAGGAACGTTGGCAAAATAATCAAAATGATAACACAAACTATTGCAGCTGCCTAAAGGTATCACTGCAGTTCACACACTTACCAAATCCTCTGTTATTACCAGGAAGGATTTTGTCAACGTGGTGGGTGTGTCTTAGATAGTTTGTTTACTGTTACTGTTCTAATACGTTAGTTTATGTAGACAGCTACACTGTTGAACTTACTTCACATTTGTAACCTTTGTTTACATTTTTAATTTACTATTGTAAACAGGAAAAATAGTAATTTGTTTCTTGAATATAGACAGAACACCCTAAGATAATATTCCAGCGAAATAATTGCAGGACAGCTATCATATTGTACGATACCAATTTACAACTACAGTATCCCACTTACTCTCAAATCTTCAACAATTTTCAAGCAAACGACCTGCAACCCCGATTTAAAATTAAGAGGATCCCGACATGACCCAATTAGCGAACGATGAGTTAATTTTTTATAACAGGGTTAAAGCATGGACTTCACAATTCGAGTTATAATGATCGGGTATGAGATTGACAGACTGGACTATTAGATAACATAAACCATATCCTCACGACCAGTTGAAATTAAATGAAACCACAGAATGGTAATAACACGTATAAGTAGTGAAACTGAAATAATACACGAAATGAACTTGACTGTAGATATAACCCATGGAAATAAACAGATTGTAGCCGGTATTGGATGAATATCGACAGAGTTTTAATTAATTACAGATGTCAGATAGGTCTCACAGCAAGATGGTTGTATATAATAAGGTGGGAAGGTATCGTGTTATGAGGAGATGATTTTGAGGGGGTTCCTGGGGTATTGGGTGGATTTTAAACCGCTGGAATCTGATGGATTTTGGGAATTTAAATTGATTTATCCGTGCGAATATATCGGGTGACAAAGATATTTCTTGTGCCGTGGATTTTATTTTCGTTATAAATTTGTCATGAATATCCGTTTGAGAGATATTAACGAAATGAAGTAAACAATACATTAATAAGGGACTAAAAGAGACTGCTGTCTAGGATGTTATATCATCAATTCAAATTTGTTTGTTCAAATGGTCAATGTAATGTTCGATTACATTTTTATTAAAATGACGTATCCAGAATTTTTCAAGCTTTAGCCAGTATTCAGGAGACCATAGTTCCACAAGTCTGACAAGAGTTCCATTCAAATAACAGGTGTTCATTGATTAAAACATCTGGTCTAACTTCGCAAATCTGATTGGTCACCATGGTGATCACACTTACCTTTGTGTTTTCTCTTCAAATTCAGTTTCTTTTTCACAGCTCTCTCCCCCTTCTTCTCTTCTCCCGACATTATATTCTTCAGAACAGAGCTCACGTGACGCTTAACAGTCAATCAGCAACAAGAACACCGCCCACGTGGAAGCAATCAACCAATCAAAACACTCCTCTCAAACCTATCCGCGCTGAAAACTACCTGCACGTGCAGTAAAACAAAGGTAAAGTACCAGATCAAACACGAAGACTCGCCACTACAAAAGAGAATATGACGGTACAATGCTCTCTCCAGCACCTACCTGCAACATCTCCGGGCCCCAAGGGGATCACTAATCACGTGACCTACCGCTAGTTGACCACGTGACCACCAGGGTAACCAACCAAACCACTCCTCACCCCCACGTGTTACAACACAACCAATCACAGATAAGGACATGTCACGTGGGCTGAAAACACGTGGTTGATTGACATTAACTTGTAAAGGTGAATGTTAATTAGAGGGGATATGTGTGGACGGGGAGGTCTGATTGAACCATCTCTCCGTGGTAACGTGTGACAGCTACCACTCTCATTTACAACTCACTTCACTGTTAACAAACGGTATTTTATACATCCACTTGATTATTGACATACTAAATTGTATGATTCACAGAATAATTCACGACCTAAAATGGAGAATCTATAGTTTTCCATGACAGGGGGGCGAGCTGAAGTTTAAAACCCCCGTACAGAGATCACCACAGTATAAACTATAGTGAAGATAACAGGGAACTTTCTAATTGATGCTGACAGATTAGGTCTATTATCTCTGACATTCTGGCTTAGTGGAGTGCTATTAGTAGAGATAAGTGGGCTGACAGCAGGTTTATTGGCACGACACACTTGATTAGCAGTCTGTGTGATTTTATCACACACCGGTCTGTGTGATTATATCACACTGGATATTGGTTGATTCTGAGATGAAATTATTATCACGTGGTTGATCACGTGAGGAAAACGCGTGATTGGTTGGGATCGGTTAAGTTGATCACACGGCATGCTTGTACTTACTGAGTAAAGTGATTTTGCGGGTACGAAAATAATCGATTTTGCTAATAGCACGAGCGATTGAGAGGCTGCAATGGGACTAGGTTGCAAAGTAAAACACTGTGTCGAAATCAATCGAGATGGGACATTATTCGTCGGTTTATTGGGAGATTGTGATAGATATTACCTCCTGCCAGAAGATTCAAGACGATTCTGCACAGAAAAAAGACTGGTCAAAGGGTTAAAGAAAATCAGGATCCTTACTTTAACAGCCAAACAAAACAGATTCCACCCTAAACAAAATGTGTATAGTAGAATTAAGATTTCACTAAATAGAATCAAGATTACCCGGACAGTCCAGTCAACGTGTCCTGATGTCAGAACCAAGCTGGAAGTTGGAAATGCCAGAGAATCATTGTGTCAGTAAAATGAGATCAGAGATCAGCGAGGTGTGAGTTGGTACTGAGCTAGTTTGTCGTGACTCCGCCCTTCTAGTGAATGCTATTACAAATCTTATTTCACTCGGGTAATTTAGCACTTGTTAGCGCTTGTTAGCACTTGTTGCAGTAACTGTGCACTTGTTGCAGTAACTGAGCACTCAGTTCGTAGTACTACAGCTCGTGCCAAAGAAACATGCCGCGTGCCAATGAAACATGCTGCGTGCCAACGTGGGGAGCAGGAATTATTATGGGAACTGGAGTATGGAGGGTTTATTCCAAATAATCCACAACAAAATATTGTTTTGTTAACATTAATAACAACAATATAAAACAAGAAGTTGTGACTCAAACTGATGAAGAAAAGCTGGAAAAGCCGCAACCGACAACCCAATCGGTGATTGATGAATAAATCACATGAAAGACATTCTGGATCTAATCTTTCACGGTAACTGACTATAACCGATAGTTTTTACAACAGCCCAGTAATCTGAATCTGTACCCCGGAGTAAACATTTAATTAAATAACCAAACATTTAATTAAATAACCAAACATTTAATTAAATAACCAAACATTTAATTAAATAACCAAACCGTTCGAGCATCCAACATTAGATTTACTAGATTTATACAGTATCAGAGACATGTAAAAGGGTTACAGTGATTACTCAGATTGAATAAGTTAGCTATATAACTGATTGAGATTTGTGGTGAGAGTATGGTAAATGAAAATACTCGGCTAAAAACACAGCCGGCTGGAGAGATGGTTACAGAGGGTTAGTACGTTCTGGCCGAGTTAACATTTACAATTTACAAGGTCTGGATTGTAATAAAAAGATGATTTCAATTTAACTACTATTATTTAAGTTAACAATTTTTGAACTAGAACTTGCTGCTGCAACAATACGCTGAGCCCTTATTCCAGGGCCTGACAGCGATTAATCGTCTTTAATGTAATTAATCACTGTCATTAACTGATAATTATATTAACAGCCCCTTAGAGAATATAATATTAAAAACAGACAAACCAAAGTAATACCTATCAGCAGAGTTGAAAAATACGTATTTTACGAATTTTATAAAATATCAAAAATACGTTAAATACGGCGTATTTTATTTTCGTTGAATAAAATACGTAATAAGTGTTATTGTACCATTGATAGCTCCAATATAGTAATAAGCACTATTGCTTTATATAAATTTACGATTTTATCAAAACTCGCGTAGCTCTGTCGTTTTTCACCTCGCATATGACTTCAGAGTACTGGGCACGTGCTATACCAAAGCATTAAAGCGTTGAAGTTAAATAGAAATGTGTCTGAAAAAAATGCAAACGAATGACATAACTTAAGTCTTTGAATGAAATTTCAAGAAAAACGTATTTTAACGTATTTTTGACGTATTTTATTTCTAAGCAAAAATACGCAAAATACGGCGTATTTAAAAAATTATCTCCCGTATTTTTCAACTCTGCCTATCAGCCCACAGGTGACATGAAATGAAGGGTATAGGACACAAGGGCGTTAGACACGAGGGCGTAGGACACGTGTGATGTTACAAGTAATAAACTTGTGACATCACACAATTTCATTTTAACTTTTGTTTATAAGCGTCAACCTACTTTTATATACATCATTGTTTAATTAATATTATTTTAGCTGTTACTATATACACTATTCGATCATTCAATTACAACAGGCCTACTCAGCAGTTTACAAATGTATTGAAAGGAAATAAGTACTAGTGGCCGTTTTAACTGAGATAAGAGGATTGATAAGACTGAGATAAGAGGATTGATGGTTTAAAGTCTAGTGGGCACACCTCAGTTAAACTCCAAAATCTGCTGCTGAGTTGGCTGAGATATTTTAGGAAAATCTCTCAATTTTTGGCTCGTTTAAATATGGGTGATTATTTGTCAAATCAGTATATTTTGTTTCAAATTTAAACGTGAGTAGATCCAATAATTCGAGCTAAGGTTTACCTCAACCTAAAATGAAATTATGTAATGTTACAAGTTTATTACTAGTTCATTATTCAGGACGGTGTTTGGTTCCGCCCTCGTGTCCATGTTAAAGTGAGTTATGTGATTCACCCTCGTGTCCTTACTTTTAGGAAAGTAACGCCCTTGTATCCTCCTCCCTTGCGCCCTCCGCCCTCGTGTCCGGTTCCCGCAATGAAATGTCAGAGCGGCAGAGAGCAAGTGAGAAATAGGAACATCTAATACTGTTATAACATTTTCTGTTTGAAATCATAACAAACTACTGACGTTAACAGACTTTTGGAAAAAAGGTAAAATGATACCAACTTCCCATAAAGTTTAACAGTGGGGCGTGGGCTTATTTGAGTAGAATTTTACGGTTAAAACCAACGAATAATTAACAGAGTATAGAAAGCAATTAATACGCGTATGATTGAAATACTAACACGAAACGAGAAGGAACACGAAAATATCAAAATTTAATAATCAAATTGAAAGTACACTATAAAAGTATAAAACAAGCCTAAAACACAAGCACCAATCTGTCTACACGCTAACAAATACCCATTAAAAATAATGCACATCTCATTAACCAATAGGGGCTCCTTATTGGCTACTACAAGTCACGTGGCACAAATCAAGCTCTCTGATTGGTTGGTTTATGCCACGTGCGTGAAATACAGCTGTTTGGTTGGCTGGCTTGTTAGTATCCTTGGAAGTTATCCATGCTAAGAAGTGGCAATTAAAGGTTCGAGTTGAAACATGTTTAAGTACAGGGGAGGGGACAGGAAACTAACTTAATGGTTTACATAAGCTTACTTATGCTTTTTAGAAACCGTTTAAGGTGGATAGTAAATCCAAATATTGATTTGTGACCTTCAAATTTTCGCAACTCACAAAAGATAATTTTCCTTGAATGTTTTTCGAGGAAATTATGTCTTACTATGCACTGCTTTCCATAAAATTTACGACATAAAAAAAATCGTCAAGAAATGACAACTGGCGCTGAGGGCATTGATCCTCAAGATGGTACTGTTTGGGAGTCTATTGTTCTTAAAATTGACAACTGTAGGTATTTCAGGAATTTTTCATATCATTATCATTGTTTGTCCATTAGCTATCGTGGAGTACGTTTTGGGCAGATATATTTGTGTAAGACTGTTGTCCCTCAATTCCTCAAGTCTCCTCTGATCTGCAGTTATTCAACAAGGGCAAGTAGAAACAATAGCGGTTGACAGTTTGTTAATGTTAAGTGTTCACGCATGGTTCGCTCATGCCCCAAAGAGTCTCAATAAGCTTTCAAACAAAGGGGGACAACAAAGCTACAGAATTTGAAGCTTTGCCAGCGAGTGCTGTCAAGGAGGCTCTCCTTCGCTGAACTACTCGAGCAAGGGACACCATAATTTTTCAGTCAATCAAAAGTTTAAAAAAATAAAAAGTGAAAATATATATATATATTAAACTAATTACAACACTACAAATCTATTACATTTATTGAGGATGACTGTAAAGGTATATTTTACCGACATTTGAAGTCAAGGCGTTGTTTTACTGACAGTTGTGGCTGACTAACAATATATATATATATATATTTGTTCGATGTTTACCGCACAAGAATTATTTACAATTATTTACAACAAACAACAAGATATCATCCAATAAGCCTACAAGATATTGACCAGTCCAAAACATCATCCAAAAAAGCTTGCACAAATCATTGTCGTTACTCAATCAGTCATTAGTATTAGCTTTAATTCTACACAACAGTCATTACTATTGCGTTTAATCTGTATTAACGTGATTAGTTGACATATCTTGGACAATACTACAGTATAATGTCGGAGTGGAAGGAAGAACTGAGTGGAAAATGACCCCCAGTGAGATATTATTTGGGAAAACGGTGTAAAAAAATGATCGGGTAAACATAGTGATATCGATCATTTTTTACCATTCCTTCCCCTTCCCCCTTTGCTTTGGTGACACTGAAGCCCTCAATTGTGTAATTGGAACAGGTAACCTGGCCGCCATATTTCCAATCCCTGATCTACGTCACAACTATTATTACACAAAGTTATTACCTTTGTTAGCTAATTTACGTTATACGATATATTGTTAACATAATATATTGTTAAGCAATGGTAGATGTATATTGTTTGATTATTTAGTTACCTGCAACGATTTGCCCCATAATCTGTGTATTGATTCCTCTATCTTTCGTGATAACTTTATCTTTCAGTATCGGTTCTACTTTCTCTTTCAGTTTTGGTTCTGCTTTCTTTAATTCCAGTTTCGTTTCCTCTTTTGGTTTCACTTTCGCTTTCTCTTTCACTTCGACGACGTCAGTATTAACGCCTCTGTCTTCAACCCTAACTTTCAGTGTCCCCAGACCAACATCCCTCATAATTTTGTGTTTCCTTCTCGTTTTAGCATCAGGTAATCTCGCCAGGAAAACAGTTTCCATTTCAGGGCTTATCTCCATTATCTTAGGGCTTATCTCCGCTGTGCCTATCTCGTTTGTTTCCGCTATCTTGCACGTTAGGTACCGTAAACGCTGGTTAAGTTCATCCGCAAAGTTATGATTTTTCCGGCGGTCAACCTCCGCCAAATCGTTTTGCTGCGTTATCCTCATCACCGGCAGAAAATCGACCAATCAGAACGCAGCACTGGTTCCACACGATTTGGTTTAACCAATCAGAAAGCAGACAGAAGACCAAACAAGCTCAACAAACTTAATAATCTTAACAAAAGCACTGTCCTCCAAAAGTCCAAACACAAGGAAATGTCCTCTACAGACAAACTCCTCCAAGATGACGTCTACTAACCTACCACACTATACCCAACAGAGAGAGAGAGAGAGAGAGAGAGTGCAGACATCTTACTATCATTATCCTTCTAGCTGGTATGTAACTGGTCCATGCTGGTTACATCCGGGTATACTTATTGGAGTGTGGATACTGGATAGTATCTTGTTTTGAGGGATGTTATCTAGTTATTGTGGAACTGGTGGTTGGGTGTTTGTAATAGTAGGAGATACTGATAGTGAAACCCCTCTTAAAATCCAAAAAACAGGGGTCGATCTGGTCGTTAGATACCAGTGAGATAAGTTGTGATTACCAGCACACACACACACACACACAACACACACACACACGTGTAATTCTCTCACGGTGTTAGTAAGCACGAAGGAGCAGGAAACACAATTAGTGGGCAGGGAAAGTGGAGCAGTGACTAATTGGAACACCAGCTTTCTACTCAAACCAATCAGTCGGGTAGTGTGGAGTAAAGTTAATTTATTAATTAGTTAATTAGTAATTAGTGTTTTGTCATGTCCAGAGGCACATATTAGGTGCGATGGGTGCGGGATCGCACAATTTACCGTTTTCCGCACATGTCCGCATAATTTATTGTTTTCCGCACATGTCCGCACATTTTGTAATTTTCTGCATATTTCCGCATAATCTAGCATTTTCCGCGTAATTTCGCATAATTTTGAAATTTTCGCGTTAAGATTTTCGAGTGTAAAAACCAAAATATGTTATAGTCGGGCCCTTTTAGGACCGTGACTCAGGCCCTTTCGGGACCCTGACCCAGGCCCTTTTAGGACCGTGACTCAGGCCCTTTCGGGACCCTGACCCAGGCCCTTTTAGGACCGTGATTCAGGCCCTTTCGGGACCGTGACCCAGGCCCTTTTGGAACTCATACCTAGGCCACGTGACCCAGTTACCACGTGACACAGGCCCTTTGAGGACCCTGACCCAGGCCCTTTCGGGACCGTGACCCAGGCCCTTTTGGAACTCATGCCTAGGCCACGTGACCCAGTTACCACGTGACACAGGCCCTTTCGGGACCCTGACCCAGGCCCTTTCGGGACCGTGACCCAGGCCCTTTCGGGACCGTTACCCAGGCCCTTTTGGGACCGTGACCCAGGCCCTTTCGGGACCGTTACCCAGGCCCTTTCGGGACCGTGATCCAGGCCCTTTCGGACCGTGACCCAGGCCCTTTCGGGACCGTGACCCAGGCCGTTATGAAACCCTCGTCGTTACCATACTTTGATTATAGTTTATCTGTTATCATTCGTAACTTCACCACATCATCTGATTACTCTAACACTGTCTAAGTCACTGTTCTCAGATAACTGAATCTCAATATAGGTTCAATCATGGTCTTAGTAAAGAACTACACCCTCAGTAACACATAAACAGACCTATTTTTGATAAGAGCGGCGGTTATACGTTTAGAATTTCCAAAGTCCTTGAGAAAATGCAAAAGAAAACCGCACAATTCCCGCACAAATTTCGAAAAAATCGCCGCACATTTGCCGCATAATTGGTAAAAATTTACCGCAACTTACCGCACATTTTACCTTTATAGTCGGGTGCGGTACCGCATAATTTCGATTTTTTTTACCGCACCTAATATGTGCCTCTGGTCATGTCTGGTACGGGTAGTGAACACTGAAGAGGGTAGGAGCTTCTAAATAATACTTAATAGAAATAGTGTTGTGGATAAATAATTAAGTTTATGTGGGATGGTTGTTATATTACGTCAGTCATTTTCTGGTCAATTTCTGGTCGTTTGATATAAACCATCTCCCGAGCACTACAGTGATAATTGTTTGAGTCTAGAAATAGAAATAGAAGAGCCTTTAAAAGGTCAAAAATCTAAAATAGTTTGATTAATTACTGATAAAACTAACTGCAACAACTACAAGGATTGCTTGCGGAGATGTTATGTATATTCCACCATGTGCTGTAACAAGTTTGTGTCATGTGACTAGAATACCGAGCTGTGAGTGGTGGGTTTGTGTCATGTGACTAGAATACCGAGCTGTGAGTTGTGGGTTTGTGTCATGTGACTAGAATACCGAGCTGTGAGTTGTGGGTTTGTGTCATGTGACTAGAATACCGAGCTGTGAGTTGTGGGTTTGTGTCATGTGACTAGAATACCGAGCTGTGAGTGGTTGGTTTGTGTCATGTGACTAGAATACCGAGCTGTGAGTGGTGGGTTTGTGTCATGTGACTAGAATACCGAGCTGTGAGTGGTGGGTTTGTGTCATGTGACTAGAATACCGAGCTGTGAGTTGTGGGTTTGTGTCATGTGACTAGAATACCGAGCTGTGAGTTGTGGGTTTGTGTCATGTGACTAGAATACCGAGCTGTGAGTTGTGGGTTTGTGTCATGTGACTAGAATACCGAGCTGTGAGTGGTGGGTTTGTGTCATGTGACTAGAATACCGAGCTGTGAGTTGTGGGTTTGTGTCATGTGACTAGAATACCGAGCTGTGAGTGGTGGGTTAGAGTCATGTGACTAGAATACCGAGCTGTGAGTTGTGGGTTTGTGTCATGTGACTAGAATACCGAGCTGTGAGTGGTGGGTTTGTGTCATGTGACTAGAATACCGAGCTGTGAGTTGTGGGTTTGTGTCATGTGACTAGAATACCGAGCTGTGAGTTGTGGGTTTGTGTCATGTGACTAGAATACCGAGCTGTGAGTTGTGGGTTTGTGTCATGTGACTAGAATACATTTTTAATGCAGATCCAGAGAACGTTCTCGAGAACGTCCTTTACTTATGAAAGTACTCAACCAAATCACAAACAGGAAGTTTGTGAGGAAAAGTAGAAGTATAGTATTCATGTAAAAGATAAAAGGAAAAAACTCGACTGATATCTAAACATATGGATGGTATTATTTGAGGGTAAGTTTAGATGCAAATAACAAACCACAGCGCGCTAGATACCGAATTTCAACTATCGGAAAAGACCCTTTAACAGAACGTTTACTATATTACCAACACACACAAAGGTTTTGCTCTATTACGGGTAAACCTAGGATGCTGCAGATTCAACTCTGTACATTCAGACCGTCTGTGCGTGGTGAAGAGCCACATCCTGCTCGAGGTGGGGCTGCATGCAACTCCAGTGATGGAGTTGTAACTGAACACAGCGGATCTAGGGGTGCACCCCCGAAAAAAAGCCGGGCATCCTCAGAACAAGCCCGTGATGATGGTGATGTGGGTTAATCAAGATGTAACAGATTCCGGAACTATGGGAGCACCATCTGTCATCTTACCGTTTTATTTACTGTATGTGGGAACATCTACTGATGAAGTAGCTATCAAGAGAGCCATTCCAGTGGCGCAGGTGGCTCACGTGTCACATAGCCAACAGAAAAGAAACATGATGAATAGTTCTTACAGCACTAGGGTATCAGCCCCTACTTTTGTTTCTGGACGAGAAGGTGGTAATGATTTCACCAACTTAAATCCGAATGGAAGGTTGGTGAATGATGAGCCTAATCAACCTGAAACACCCAACAGCATAAACGAAAACAACAAAAAAAGTTTATTTTCATGTACCGACATTACCTGGGTAGGCACTCTTAACACTAGAACGATAAGAACTACCCAGAGGAAACTGGAGATGGTACATCTTTTCGAGAAGAGTGGCGCAGAGATTGTAGGTATCCAAGAGCACAGGATAGTTCATGAAGAGCCTGTCAGAGTAGAGAGAGTTGGCAAGAGCAGCTATCTAATTACTTCATCAGCTACTAGGAATAGGGCCCAGGCATCAGTGGGCGGAGTGGGATTCATCCTAACAAGCAAGGCATTTGACGCAACTACGGAGATAACACCAGTGACGGAGAGAATCCTTAAGATATCTCTCAATGGGAATCCTAAACCAACCTTCGTCTGTGTCTACTGTCTATGGACCTACGGAGGCAGATAGTGTAGAAGCAGCAGAAAAGTTTCATAACGATCTAAGGTGTGCAGTCTCGCAGATCCCTGCTCACAACTTCTTGGAGGTGATTGGGGATTTTAACGCTCACCTATCAAAGAGGGACGAGAATGACTGTGGTTGGTATTTCCATGAGAGAACCAACAGAAATGGGGAGCTGCTTCGGGATACTGCCCTGGAATGTAATCTGGAGATTACAAACACCAGGTTCAGAAAGAAGCGGGGTAAGATGTGGACTCACCTATCGGATGGAACCCTGAATAAGTCTCAGATAGACTTTATTCTAGTGAGGAAGAAGTGGAGGAACAGTATCAAAGACACTGAAGTCTACAGTTTCTTTAGTACATTGGGTACTGATCATAGATTTGTTTTGTCTAAGATCAAGCTATCTCTTCGACGAGCAAAAAAGCAACCCAAGAAAACCTGGTATAATTGGGGAGCACTAAAATCGGATGAAGACCTACAGAAGAGATATGCAGTAGAAGTCAAGAATCGGAACTCTGCTTTATGCGAGCAAACCGATGAAAGTGAGGTTACGGAACTGTATGGGCATTTTGTTGATGCGATTGCTGATACCAACAAAGCCATACTGCCTAAGAGAGAAAAGAAGAGACGTGACGATTTCGCGGGTGATCAGCGAGTTCAAAACGTGCGTACAGCGTTGCAGCAAGCAGAGACTGTCTATCACCGGGATCCTAGTGAAGACAGTCGACTGTCTGTTAACGTACTTAAAACTGAACTGGATCAGGTGTACCAGGACATCTTTGAAGAAGATCTAGTTGCCAAGGTTAGAAGGGTCGAAATGGCTGCAGACAGATGCAAAAATAAAGAAAGTTGGAATGTCATAAATGAGATTACTGGTAGGAAGGCCAAGGGGGCAACTCAAATAAGGGGCAACGGAGCCGAAGAGAGGAAGGAAAATTGGCTTAGGCATTTCACGAATCTGTTAGGGAGTACACCTGATGTGGAAAACGAACATCCTAGGATCGAGACTCAATTTGAAGGACTCAACATCAGTACAGAACCTTTTACTCTAGAGGAGCTCAAAGCTGCCAAACTCAGGATTAAAGAAGGTAAAGCACCAGGTGATGATGGTATACCACCTGAAGTCCTCAAAAGATGCGACCTGGATGAAATCGTGTTGTCCTTCTGCAACAAAGCCCTGACAGATGGTATTGCGCCAGATCAGTGGAGGATAAGCAACATCATTCCGGTCCCCAAAAAGGGAGACTTGACAAACCCTGGAAACTGGAGGGGGATATCTTTGACTTCACTTGTAGCAAAGACTCTTAATAGAATGGTGCTTAATAGGATCCAGCCGGCTATAGAAGGGGTACTTAGGGACACTCAGAATGGTTTCCGGGAAGGACTGTCCACTACTAGTCATATCTTGGCACTCAGAAGG